AACGAAGGGGGGGGAGAGGGGGGAAGAGGGGGGAGGAACGAAGGGGGGGGAGAGGGGGGAAGAGGGGGGAGGAACGAAGGGGGGGAGAGGGGGGGGGAAGAGGGGGGAGGAACGAAGGGGGGGGAGAGGGGGGAAGAGGGGGGAGGAACGAAGGGGGGGGGAGAGGGGGAAGAGGGGGGAGGGTGGGAGAAGAAGGGGGGGGAGAGGGGGAAGAGGGGGGAGGAACGAAGGGGGGGGAGAGGGGGGAAGAGAGAGAGTGGCAGGAGCGGCCACACAGGCTGGGGCAATATGAAAGAGTGAGTCATCCAGCCCGTCGTGAATGTAGTTCATGGCTAGTAGACGGTTCTGATGCGGGAGAGGGAGGGGGGGGGAGGGAAGAGGGAGGAGTCGGACAGCAGGGAGGAGTGGGGACAGCAGCAACATAGGGACGTAGGAGAAATCTGGAAAAGGGTGAAGGGTACAAACAAAAGCAGCAGCAACAATGATAAGGGCAGTGCAGCTCTGGCACACCTTACATTCAACTGCCTAAATTACATACTTGCTCACCTGCACAGCACTTTTTGAGTCAAATTTTGCAACTTTTTCCCCCAGAATTCGAAAATATATCTCACGGCCTCACCTGCCCACATAATCGCTCACCTCACAAGGCCTGGCACACCTTACATTCAACTGCCTAAATTACATACTTGCTCACCTGCACAGCGCTTTTTGAGTCAAATTTTGCAACTTTTTCCCCCAGAATTCGAAAATATATCTCACGGCCTCACCTGCCCACATAATCGCTCACCTGGCCGGCATTTTCTGGAGTCTGGGTCGATAGCGAGGCACTGCTGGTATGCCTCTATGGCTGCTGGGATGTTGCCCGCATCCCTGTGCAACACACCTGTGACAAGGGAAGGAGATAAGGAAGAAAAAGAGAAGGAGAGCGGAAAAAGAGGAAGGAGGTGAGTTACCAAGACACTGCTGGTGCGCCTTGATGGATGTTGCCCGCATCCCTGTGCAACACACCTGATGAGATTCCGGGGGGGAATGAGGGAGATGGGGGAGGAGAAGGGGGGGTTAGGGGAGGTAAGATGGCGAGGCACTGCTGGTACCCCCCCGTCCCCCTGCTCCTTTTCGGCCTCCCACCACCCTACCCCCCTCCCCCTCTCATCCGCCACCCCCCTGCTCACCCAGATTGTTGTACGCCTCGGCATATGCGGGGTTGGCGAGAATGGCAGCTTGAATCATGTTGAGCGCTAGGTCCATCTTGCCCTGTGAGAACGGAGGAGGGAAGATGGGGGAGTGGGGAATGGGGAAGGTTGGGTGGGAGGTGTGGGGAAGGTGGGTGGGAGGTGTGGGGGAGGTTGGGTGGGAGGTGTGGGGGAGGTTGGGTGGGAGGTGTGGGGAGGTTGGGTGGGAGGTGTGGGGGAGGTTGGGTGGGAGGTGTGGGGGAGGTTGGGTGGGAGGTGTGGGGGAGGTGGGTGGGAGGTGTGGGGGAGGTGTGTGGGGAGGTTGGGTGGGAGGTGTGGGGGAGGTTGGGTGGGAGGTGTGGGGGAGGTTGGGAGCCTTAAAGGCTTGAATCATGTTGAGTGCTAGGTCCATCTTGCCCTGGGTGTGGAGGGGTGGAGAGTTAACGGGTAGAGTGAGGGGGATGACTGATGGTCAAACTTCATCGCCCGGTCATTTTCTCCTGAGGGGGGAAGTGGGGGAGTGAGGAAGATGGGAGAAGGGGAAGAGATAGAGCGGGTGCTAGTGGGTGAAGGGTGGGAGGGAGAGGTGGGAAGGTGTGAATACCATGAGGGTGGGAGAGGGGCTGGAATCATGTTGAAGAGGGGCTGGAATCATGTTGAAGAGGGGCTGGAATCATGTTGAAGAGGGAGGAAGAGCAAGAGAGGTATGCATGAGATCAAGCAAGCGGCATGGGACGGCATGGGACGGCACGGCACGGCGCGGCACAGCATGCACGCACGCACCTGCACGGTGTAGACAACCCCCAGGTTGTTGAGCGACTGGGAGAAGCTGGGCTTGATGCGCAGCGCCTTCTGATAGCACTCCACGGCCTTGTCCAGGTTGTCTCTGTCCTTGTATATCACCCCCAGGTTGTTGCACGCCTCGGCGCATTGAGGATTGAAATGAAGGGCTAGCTCGTACATCACCACTGCCTGGAAGCATGGACAGGGGGAACGTGCAATGGGAAGGGCGATGGAGCAAAGTGGGGCAAGAGGGGAGAGGCTAGTTGGTGGCGGAACAAGGGAACAAGAAGGAAGAAGGGGAGAGTGGGGAGCGGGGAGTGGGGAGCGGGATGCAAAGAGCCTCCTGGCAGCACTCCACCGCCTTGTCTAGTTTGTTTTTGTCCTTGTATAGATCGTTACTCTTAGTAGGCTTGCGGCGTTTTGAACCCAGCGAATTTCAGCTGTCTAGGTTGTTTCTGTCCTTGAATATCACTCCCATGGGCGCATGCATGTTGTGTATGTGTGCATACATGTGCATGCGCTTTCACCATGTCGAACTTCAGCATCTCCTCATCATAGGCCACGCCCAGGTAGTACATGTGCTGTATCGTATGTGTGAGGGCACATGGCCATGCATGTGCTCTCACCATGTCGAATTTGAGCATCTCGCCATAGGCCACGCCCAGGTTGTACATGGCATCGGCGTAGTGCGAGTTGAACAGCAGCGCCCGCTTGTAGTGCGCCACTCCCGCTGATATGTCGCCCTCTAGCTTCACCTGTAATGGGGGGAAAAGGAGAGGAGGAGGGCGGATCAGTGTGGGTGTGCTTGTAACGAGATACCATGCTTGTAGTGCACCACTCCTGCTGATATGTCGCCCTGTAGCTTCACCTGTGATGGGGGGAGTGGAAGTGGTGATGCGTGTGTGTGTGTGAGTGAGTGAGGAAGAGGGAGGGATGTGCCACGCTAGTAGTGTGCCACGCTAGTAGTGTGCCACGCTAGTAGTGTGCCACTCCCGCCGCTGATATATCGCCCTCTAACTTCACCTGTGGGGAAGGAGGGGTGGGGGAGGAATATGCGTATGTGCGCGTATGTGTGAGGGCGAGACAAAAGGAGGTGCCCCTATCCACCTGCCACTGACCACCTGCCACTCTCCACCTGGCACTGTTACCCCTCCCTCTCAGCATCACCCTGTTAACCATCGCACCAAGGTGATAGCCATGTTGCTCCCTGTGACTGTTCTGTACCCTACCCCCTCCCTACCCCTTCCCATCCTCCCCTCTCCCACCTCCCCCTCCCTCCCCACTCCCCTGTCAACCCAGCCCTCCCTCCCAGCCGCACCTTGGTGCCAGGTCTGTGAGGGCGATGGCAATACAAATCCCCTCCCCCCTACCCTTCCCCTTCCCCCAATTCCCCCCACCCGAACGCCCCCCGCCGCACCTTGGTGCCCAGGTCAGTGAGGGCGATGGCAATACAAATCCCCTCCCCCCCTACCCTTCCCCTTCCCCCAATTCCCCCCACCCGAACGCCCCCCGCCGCACCTTGGTGCCCAGGTCAGTGAGGGCGATGGCAATACAAATCCCCTCCCCCCCTACCCTTCCCCTTCCCCCAATTCCCCCCACCCGAACGCCCCCCGCCGCACCTTGGTGCCCAGGTCAGTGAGGGCGATGGCAATACAAATCCCCTCCCCCCCTACCCTTCCCCTTCCCCCGATTCCCCCACCCCAACGCCCCCCGCCGCACCTTGGTGCCCAGGTCAGTGAGGGCGATGGCCATGTTGTTGCGTGCAATTGTGAAATTAGGCGCCACTGCCAGACACCTGGTGGCGGCGGAGGTGGTGGGGGGAGAGAGCGGGGGAGGGGGAACGTGGGCACAACAGGGGGGTGGGGAACAGCAGAGGGGTCTGTGAGCGCAATGGCCATGTTGTCGCGGGCATTTGTGAAATTAGGCGCCACTGCCAGACACCTGGTGGTGGCGGGAAGGCAGGGCAGTGGGGGAAAGGGAGAGCGGGACAGCAAGGGGGTGGGTGAGCGCGATGGCCATGTTGTTGCGTGCAATTGTGAAATTAGGCGCCACTGCCAGACACCTGGCAATGGGCAGGGGGGGATGCGTGCGCAAGTAGGCAGACAGGGAGTGGGGTTGAACCTGATGGGAATGTGGATGTGGGAGGGGGCGTGGAAGCTCGAGGGAACGTCGGAAGGGGAAAGGACGTGGGAAGTTGAGTGAACGTGGGAAGGGGGGGGGATGGTCTGCATCCCAATGGTCTGAGCTAGAGGGATATGCAGGACGAGCAGTGGGTCAGGAATAGTTTTGTGGAAGGAGCAGGGCGGGTGTGGTAACCACATATCTACTGATAGTTGCGACAGCCAGCCAGTAACACACACGGTTGTAACATAACATGTGTGTTAACCTTATGTATCATGTATGTCATCGCAGGGCCCACGGTTAACACAGTGCCTTGGTCTTTGCGATGACTCAACTCAAGACAGCCACCATTCTTAGCCAAGATCCACAAACCCACCCAAAAAAAAGACCAACGCAACACCCAACCCACACACCCAGGGCCAAAAACACCCACCCACATACCCACAAAACAAACATAGGCACCCACCGCTCATAGCACGCAATAGCAGAATGTAAATCCCCGCAGTTCTTGTAGATGACGCCCATGTTGCAGTGCGCCTCCGCATACAGCGGCCTCAGCGCCTCCCTTGCTTCCAAACACACCCCTGGTACCAACAAAAACAGGCACCCACCACCACTCACCCAGCCCAGAAACACAGTCTCTCACCGCTCATAGCACGCAATAGCCGAGTGCAGATCGCCGCAGTTCTTGTAGATGACGCCCATGTTGCAGTGCGCCTCCGCATAGAGCGGCCTGAGCGCCACTGCCTTGTCGTAGAACTGAAGGGCCGCCTCGTACTGCCCCATCTCCGAATACACCACCCCTAGGTTGTAGTACGCCGGCTGGAATGGGGGAAAGGAGAGGGGGGGGAAGGAAAGAACCGAGCACGAGAGAACGGGACTGGTGTGGGCTGGGGACAGGGTGGGGGTAATGCAGCATTGTGGAATGGAAGCAGCCTCGCCTCACTGCACACCTCTGGCCGGCTGCAATGGCTTAGCAATACCACAGCTATTTCCTCCTGCACCGATTTCCCCCAGCTTGAGGTGCTGAACAGAATGTCCCACAACATGCCACAGCATATCACCGTATGCCACCACATACCACCGCACTGAACCGAATACCGCTGGCCGGCAGCAATGGCCTCGTGGTACTTGGCTAACACACCGGCTTGAGCCTTGAGGCATGTGCCCAGGTCTACGAGAACCACAGCTAGCTGCTCCTGCGCTTCCTTGCCACCGTTCCCCACTGCATACCACCGCACTGAACCGCATCTCACCGCACATCACCACATGCCACCCCATACCACCGTAAAGCATCGAGTGCCACCGCACTGAACCGCTTCTCACCGCGTATCTCTGGTCAGCCGCAATGGCCTCATAATACTTGGCTATCCCCTCTTGCACCGATCCCCCCAGCTTGAGGCGCGTGCCCAGGTCTGTGAGCACCACAGCTAGCTGCTCCTGCGCCTCCTTGCACCCCGGATCCGCCTCCAACGCCTTCCTATACGCCTGGGGGGGTAGGGGGGAAGGTTGGGGGGTGAGGAATTGGGGGAAGAGGGGGAGAGGAGGCAAAAGAGGGGTTGGAGAGGTGGGTGTGAGTGGGCTGGTGGGAAAGGAAGGAGCAGTTGGGTGGGTGGGGCTATCAAAAGCAGCAGCCTCCCTTGCAGGTTCAGGGCGTGTCCAGCCCAGGTCTGCGAGCACAACCGCCGCCCTTTTTCCCCCTCTCCCCCACTTATCCCTCTCACCCTCCCTCCCCCTCCTCTCCTTCCCCGCCTCCTCGCCCCTCCTTCCCAGCTCCTTCCCCCGCCTTCTCCCTCCTTCCCCCTCTTCTCCCCTTCCTCTCTCTCTCCCCACAATCTTCTTCCCCGCTTCCTCTTCGCCTCCTCTCCCTCCCAATCTCCCCCGCTCCCGCTCATCCTTCTCTTCCGCCTCAACCACTCACCTCGCCCCTCCTCTTACCCACTCAACTCAATGGACTCTCCCCTCTCGTTTTGAGGCGCCTCAAAACTAGACTCCCCTCTCCCCCCCATCCCCCCACTCCACCTCGACTTTCCCCTTCTCCATGCCGCCCAACTCTCCCCGCTCCTCTTTCCCCTCCTGCCCCTCCCCACACTTACCTCGATCACCCCCCCACCTCCGCTCCCTCCACCTCATCCCATTCCCCCACGCACCTCTATCGCTTCTAATAGATGTCCCTCCTCTTTATACAGCACCCCGCACTGCGTCAGCGCTACAGCGTGTGTCGGATTCAGCTGTAACGCGGACACGTACGCCTCAAACGCTGCGCTAAGCTTCCCCTGCGCCTGCAAGCACTGCCCCTTCCCCACTAGCGCCTCCGCCGTCGCCGCGGCCGCGGCCCCGCCTGCCCCTCCCCCTCCCGCCCCACCTCCCCCTCCCCCTTCCCCCGCGCCCGCGGCCCCTCCTAATGTCCCTGCGCCGCTACCCGCTACATTCCCCTCGTCATAGTCACGGCTGCGCCTAATCTCTCCGCTATAATCGCCTCGTATATAGCGAGCGCTTCGTTAACTTTCCCACGAGACCTAAGCATAGCCGCATACCCTAGCGGATCTTTCACAGCACTAAGCCGTCCGGCCGCGGCGGCTGCGGCTGCGGCGGCGGCGGCGGCGGACGCGGCGGTGGCGGAAGCGGGGATGGCTGCAGCGGGGATTAAACCGCCCGCGCCGTTACCGGCGGGGGCGGAAACGGCCCCTCCGACCGGGAGAGACGCGGAAACTGGCTGCGGGAATGTCGCTGCTGCAGCGGCGGCGGCGGCAGCGGCTGCGGCGGCAGCAGCGGCGGCAGCAGGGTCGAAGTGAGACGAGACGAAACCGTTGCTCGGAAAACCGGGGTGCGTGGGCATGACAGGGGCTTGCATAGGAATTAAAGCCTGTCCAGATGCGGTCGAAGCGCTAGAGCCTCCTAACGACGCAAATAGTGGGTTACCTAAACTGTTATGAGTCAACCCTTGCGCGCCGCCGCTGATGTGGAGGTTGCTGATTGGATGATGAGCACCGGGGGGAAGAAACGGAATTAACGCCGCGGCGTTACCAGCGTAAGGGGACGGGAACGGCAAGTGACCGTGCGATAGGGAGATGGACGGTTGGGATGCGCCGACTGGCGAGATTCCGGGAATTCCAGCGATTGACTTTAACGAGGCGAGCAGGTGATTGTGCTGCACGGACGCTGCAGCAGGTGATAATAACGCGGGGTGATTATGAAGAGAACCAGCTGAAGGGAGCAACATCCATCCCCCAGCCGCCGCCGCCGCCGCCGCAGCGGCAGCAGCCGCAGCAGCAGCCGCCGCAGCCGCTGCTTGATTCCCGTCGTGTTGCTCCAGAGCGGCTGCTTCCGCACCAAAACCGCCGTTTCCTACGCCGGGAATTGCGCCGGGAATCGCGGTGCGGCCCGCGGAACCGCCGCCGTTTCCTACACCGCAGCTGCTGCCGCCGCCGCCGCCAACGTGCGGATCAGCAAGCGGCAAGCCCGGACTCATGATCCGGGAAACACGACGACGCCAGCTTGACTGTCAGATAGGCTGACAGCGAGTTCTGTGTCGCATGGCTACAACGAAGATGCAACCCCTGGGAGCAACGAAAGACGATTGTCGAGGTGAGTAACTGCTTTCGCGAAGCTACGCGCGAGCTGTACGGACTACTGTCGTTTAGAGTCAGCTCTGCGCACACACACTCTGGGATGAACCCTAGAGTCCGATGGGAAGGAGTGCGATGAGCGGACAGCGGCTCCGTTGTTCACCCATTATCGGAGAACGATTCAGGCTGCGCGCTTAACTAAAAGCCAGTAGCTGATGTCCAAAAAAGTTAAGCTGCCGGAAGGAAATGTTGTGAGAGGACAATTCGCCTCGGAAAACGAAAGGGGAATCCCCCGAGGGCCCTGATCACTAAGTAATGAGATAGTTCCGATTGGGTTCGCAACTATCGTGATAAGACACCAAAACGGGGACGGCTCGTATACTGCAACTTACTACACCTGTTCTCCGGTATTTCCACACCCCCTATCTTCACGCCCTGGGGTACCTACCCTCGTAAGAATCTGATTTCAAAGGTAGTTAGAAACGAACGCGGGAGTTTCGAAGGTAATAAGACACGACCTCAATGCGAGTTTAACACTCAGACATTATGGCACTGGGAATTTTCCCCGCTCACCCTGATTACAAATTAGAGTTTCGAATGGCCAGAACCTGACGGCTCTTTACTGATAGACCCGTAGTGTCAGGGTGTCCGTCTCATCGATCCTCAAGCCGTATAGGGTGTCTGGCAAAAACGAGGGTAGGGGGTGTGGAAATACCGGAGAACAGGTGTAACTCGAAGCGGGAAGGGGAGAAGCTGGAAACCGATCATTCAAATTTAGACTACACGTACTGGTTTTACACGCTACGCTACGCTATGCTCGAGTGGAACGGTGAGGTGGTGAGGTATTGTTGCTGTGCTGGAAAAACGGCATAAGCAGACAGAACCAGGGACCGCATAGGGAGGATGCTGAAGCTGGCACGGATGCAAGCAACTGGCGTGGGGGACAGACGGGGGAAGGGCGGCCATGGAAGTGGAGGAGATGGAGGTGGTGGTGGGGGAGGAGATCTCGAGGGAGTGTTGTTGAGCGAAGTCAAACAGTTCGCGCGAAGAGTCGGCGAAAGTCGGATGGTTTAGATTGTTATCTTCGCTTTGTTGCGGCACATGTCATCGGGTTACTAGTTTAGGCACTGGTCGCGACAAAACTGTTGCGGGGGTTTCAGATTGATCAAGGCGGAAATGGACGGTAGTGATAGCCTGTCCTGCCCAATCGAGGGTAGCATGCTGCGTTTGCAGTCTCGAAAGTTTTGTAGAACAAGCAGCAGAACTGGAGGCGCAGAGAGTCTCGTATGTTCCGAACTGGAGATCGAACGGCTCAAGTGCTCCGCGGAGAATCTCGTCTCTCGGTTCCCCAAAGCTGGGAGAACCAACAGCCATGCGGGCAGATTTTAGGCTTGGTTCGGGAGCCCGTCCAAACCAATTGCCTCCACACAAACCAAATGGCGAACATAGACGACTCGTCAGTCTGGTTGGGAGTTTGTGACTGGCGAATAGTAACGAACATGGGCCTCAATTTGAGTACTGTAACCAGATCACACTAAAGGTCACTGTATAGGGTGATTTCACGGGTTGCAGGTGAAGCTAGAAACAACCATACATACACCATGGGTTGCGAGCCCATTGTGTCTTAAACCACCGCAACATTCCACAGCGCATGCCAGAGGAAGCGCCTCACATAATGGATCGCATCGCACTTGAGTTGGAAGTTTGAATGCCTCAAGAGTCTACCATACATTGCAGGCCAGACAAGGAAGAGCCCCGCATCATTGCTTGCATTGATGTCAACTGGCATAATGGCTTGCAATGCATTTGAGTTAGACATTCAATTCCACAAGAATCTACACCGCATGTCAGAGGAGGAAGAGCCCCAAAATAATGGCTTGCATTGCGTGTTAGCTGGACATTCAACACCCTGAGCCTACACTGCGAGCCGGAGGAGGAAGCGCGTACTATTGGCTGGCATTGCACATGAGCTCGACACTGAACACGATAAGAGTTTACACCGCGAGGAGGAGGAGCATGCTGGTTTGCATTGCACTTAGAGTTCAACGCTTACGGTGACATGAGAGGAGTTTACACTGCGGGCCAGAGGAGGAAGAGGAGACTTGCATTGCACGTGACTTCAATGCTCAACAGGAAAAGGAGTTTACACTGCGGGCCAGAGGATGAAGAGTGCGACATCGTGGCTTGCAACTTGTGCGCTCAGCTGCCCTGAGATGACCAAGTCCATGGTCGCCTTCTGCAGTATGGGAGATGCAGCATGGGAAGGCGCCAAGACAAAGTAACGATCACACTGGATGTGTGTGTGAGTGAGTGCGTGTGTGAGTGTGTGTGTGTGTGAGTGAGCGTATGAGTGTGTGTGTGTGTGTATGAGTGTGTGTGTGCGCACTCGCTGTGTGCGTGCACATGCAAGTATGCAAGTGCCCATGACCCCCCTGGACACACAAGGTGCACATGTTTCGTTTGAAATTTCTCAAAAGTGACTCCAGCATTCTCAAAACAGCTAAATGGAGACACGCACCTTCCACAGGTCTCGTGCATACATCCCCTGCACCGGATGTATGCGTTGATTGAACAAAGTATAGCCTGCCACCCAGTCACGCACCTTCCACAGGTCTCGTGCATACATCCCCTGCACCGGATGTATGCGTTGATTGAACAAAGTATAGCCTGCCACCCAGTCACGCACCTTCCACAGGTCTCGTGCATACATCCCCTGCACCGGATGTATGCGCTGATTGAACAAAGTACAGCCTGCCACCCAGTCACGCACCTTCCACAGGTCTCGTGCATACATCCTCTGCACCGGATTCAGCCCCATAGCTTTCCAGCGGGCAGTGATCTTCAACCTGATTGGGCTGCGATTCACCAGGGCTACCACCTGCCGACCCTCTGACAGAGGCCCAGACCAAACCTGCAGGTTCCAAGACCAGACCGGGATGCATGGGAGAAGGGCACAGAAGTGAGCTGTGGTGCTATGAGTGGCTACAACGGCTGCTGATCGTTTACAAGGTGCTTCACAGAAGGGAAGCACACATGACGGCTTCGGAATGCCCATGCCCATCCAAGCCCGCTTACTTGATACAAGCAAGGGTCTCGGATAAATTTGATTTGATCTGCTGTGATTTGATTCTGTCTGATTCGGTTCGATTTGATTTGAACAGATTGGATATGGCACCGCCTGAATTGATTCACTAACCTCCATTAGCGCATCCTCCGAGACTTGCACCTTCCTTGCTTGAACGCCCAGTGAATCTGCACCAATCAGAGCATGGCACGTGAGCGCAAGTACAGAAGTCGGTGAAACAGCATCGCTGGGCTTATGACAGGGTATCGTTCGCCCAGGCACCCCACCACCAGGCATACCATCAGCAGGCACCCCACCACCAGGTATACCATCAGCAGGCAGCACATAAGTTGCATGTATTGAGTGACGCAATAGCAAGTACAAGAAACAGCAAGAGAACATACCCTGGTTGAGAGCAATTATTTCCTCGTTGCCCAAAATGGCCAGTGTCCTATTTGATACAACCGAGAGATCGCAGCCAATCAGGAGTGGCGCCTGGTGGACAGATGTAATGGGAAGGAGAAGCGCTTTGCTGAAAACTCGGAAAACACTCGAGATAAGAATTCCAGGTAGTAGGAACCTAGTTGAATTCCTGGTTCTATGATTGAAACAGACGACTAGGTTGGGGCTTCTTTCGAAATAGATATGGTTCAGAGCCGTTGTAGGGTCTGGGTAGAGGACTTAATTCAAACTAAATGCTCTGCACATGCCAGCTGGCAGAACTGGCGACCTGAAAAGAAAGAAGCTCACAGGCCAGCCCTTGGCAATCAATCAATGGATACTCGAGAGGGAGGTGAGTGTTGAGTCGACAGTAAGGAGACTGGTGAGTCGATTATGTACGTATGTTTATGGATGGATGCATGCATACACGCATCCATATAGATATGCCTACGCACACGCACGCACGCACGCACGCACGCGCGCGCCTAAGTTGGGCTCTTACGTTTTTGGAGGTCACGTAAACGTAAATTTCGCGTAAACGTAAACGAAAACGTAAATTACGCGTAAGTATGAGGCGGGCAGGAAAAAAAAAGTTTAGAGCTTTTTTTTCCAGGATTATGTACGTGTACTAGATCCTTACTACTAATCCGACGTGTGTTTTTCTAGAATAGCGACTTTACTACGTATGGAGGGCCTTTTGAGTCCGTGAAAGTTTCAGATTCAGCGTTGACCTGGTTAGTAGGAGAGAAACACGATAGATTACGAACGAGCTGCTAGGTTGACACCACCCTTGTCGAACTTGGATCTGAATCGAGAATTCAGATTCATGGTTTACCCAATGAATCCCCCTAATACTCTGGTCATTTCTTTTCCCTTGGGCAGCTCAAAAAAGTTTTGAGGTGACCGTAAACGTAAGGCCGAATCAGGGCCACCGTTCGTAAACGTAAAAATTGTCGTAATTTTACGAAAACGTAAGGAACCGTAAACGTAAGATCCAACTTAGGCGCGCGCGCGCACACACGCACGCACATACATTTATACACAGATACACATATATACATATGTATACATATATATACAAAGAAACACAGCCGCACCTTCATGATGGCCCAGAGGCTGAAGTGCACACGATACTCTGATTGCCTCATGCCGCCATTCCCCACCTGCAGCATGTCTGGGTCTGGTGGGTGGGGGAGGGGGGAGAGAGCAAAGGGGGGAGGGGGGAGAGAGCAAAGGGGGGAGGGGGGAGAGAGCAAAGGGGGGAGGGGGGAGAGAGCAAAGGGGGGAGGGGGGAGAGAGCAAAGGGGGGAGGGGGGAGAGAGCAAAGGGGGGAGGGGGGAGAGAGCAAAGGGGGGAGGGGGGAGAGAGCAAAGGGGGGGGGGGGAGAGAGCAAAGGGGGGAGGGGATAAGAGGAGTGAGCGAGTGTCTCTTCCCCACCTGCAGCATGTCCGGGTCTGGTGGGGGAGAGTTGAAGGGTCAGGAGTGGGTGGAGGGCGGAGAGAGCAGGGGGGGGCAGAAGGGGGGTGGGGGCCAGGAGCAAAATATGTGTTTGACGCCATTCCACGCATGCATGTATGCAAGTAGGAGAACAGGCCGAGAGAGCAACCGGGGAGGATTCGGAGTTGTGATGTGGACCGACTTGCAAGAATGGATAGACGTGGGAGAATAGTCAAAGCTAGATGGTCTTGCCAGCTTCAAACTTCCCGATTCATACTTAGTAGTATGGCATTCCTCCCACTGGCACTCACCATTCCACCCGCCGGGCTTGGCGTATTTGGCCCACTTGTTGTTTTTGTCTGCAATTCGAATCATGCTGCATGCATGCCACGAGCATGCATGCAGGGAGGTACGGAGGGAGGGAAGGAGGGAGAGAGGGAGGGAGAGAGGGAGGGAGGGAGGAAGAGAGAAGGTGACATGCACATAGGTTGCAGTTTGGAGGCAGTATGAGGGCATAAACACGAATATAAAGTCCTTACTTCCTCTTCCCTTCCTCTGTGCTTCCCAATCACTGTTCCCTTATATTATTTCCTCTTCTTCTCCCCTCTCTGCCACTCCCTTTTCAATCCCGTCATGAGTGTTCGTCCTTTCGGCCTCCTCTCCTGTTCTCCTTCACACGTTTTTCTACTCATTTTTTCGCGAATTGTTTCTCCCCGCGTCATCCATGTCCCCCTCCTGCCTTCATCCATGGGTTTCTTCTTCATCCACGTGTCCTTTATCCCTTCATCCCTTCATCCACGTGTCCTTTATCCCTTCATCCCTTCATCCACGTGTCCTTCTCCCTGTATCCACGACTTCCTCTCACCTCCTCCACGAGTCCCCAATGTCAACTGTGGTGCGCCAGGAGTCTGCCACTTCATACGCCCACAGGGAAGGGTCGTCCTGCCCCCTGCATTTGGTGGCACACGTGGCAGGATGGGTACACAACACGTGGCATGACAAGCCAAGCCACACACGGATGGTGCTTCTGGGTACAGTACAGGCATAGGCAGTCACTATGTCTGAGGGTATATCCAGCATAGCAGCCTCCATGTGTGCATGCATACAAAAGTTGACACCCACCTTCAGTCGCACATGCAACATTCTCACCATTTCAGCCCACAACCCTCACAGGCAGAGGACTACTATCGTTTGCGTGGACCTTAAGTCACCTCGGGAGTCTCTGAGCAATTCTGTGTCTCAAGCACCATCCACCTTTATGACCTCACCGTTTGCACAGGCAGCGGACTAGATGGACCTGATTCAGCTCACCATTCACACATGGAGAAGAAGATGTCTCTCCCAGTGGCCTCCAATGCATTGCGCATGGTCGTGTAGCTGAGGAAGGGTTGATTGGCAGGCATCACGCAGCAGAGGATGAAAAGGAAAAAAACGTGGGCGGTGGGGAGGGGAAGGGGGTAGAGCTCCAATGCCTCAAGGAGATGTCTCTCCCAGTGGCCTCCCGCACATTCCGCATGGTTGTGTAGCTGAAAGAGTAGAACGAAAGGCATCAACCAGCCGAGGATGTGGAAGGGAATCCGAGAGGAGAGGTGGGCGGAAGAGGTGGTGGATCAGAATGAGGAACAAAAACAGCAGAGCCGAACCCGAATAGGGTAGATCACACAGTGACGCGCAAGGGTGAGTTTGACATCAGAGGACGGCAGGAGCGAGGCAGACAGACAGGGCACACACCGTTTCTTGTTTGGCGTGCCGTCGTTGAAACAGTTATCGTACACTAAGGCATCGCGTGGGGCAGTGCAGTGACAAGGCACAGGATGCACATAATAACAATTCGTTATGGGGACGTCTCAAATCAAAACCCATTTGTTATCACGAAGCAGCTATCGTGCCTGAGGTGGCACACTTCCTGACATCGCACGGGGCAGTGACCATGCGCAGCATGGCACACGAATGTGAGATCTCAAGCAGCTATCGTGGCAGGCGACTGCGAAACACGAGAGGACTTGCGGTGTTGGAACCAGGGAAAAAACTTGATCCAACAACAATCGTAACCCGATGCAACCTCGTGTTCCACACAACCTCATGCCTCGCCCAACCGAGTGCCCCCTCAAGCCTCATGCCTCGCCCAACCGAGTGCCTCCTCAAGTCTCATGCCTCGCCCAACCGAGTGCCTCCCCAAGCCTCGTGCCTCATCCAACCTCGTGCCTCTCCAAGCCGCATGCCTCACCCAACGTCGTGTCTCTCCAAGCCTCATGCCTCACCCATTCAGCAAAGGTTTGAACATCAATCGCCTCATGCCCAAGAGAGCCTGGCTTGCCTTCACACGTGCTCCTCCTGATGAAAGGGGAAGGGGGAACGCGGCGGGGTTGGGGGATGGGGTAGAACAGAGGAATGTAGAGTTGAAAGCATCCTTGTAACCGTGTAGGCACAAGACTTGTCTATCGGACATCAGCCCTAACTTTTAGACTTGTCTATCGGACTTGTCTTGTCTTGTCTTGTCTTTTAACTTGGTAGACTTTTAATGCATCAGATGATCCGATCAAATGTTCCTTACCTCGCCCCTCAGTCTAATTTTCCACTTTCCTCACCAATGCCCCGCACATCTCCCTTTCCCTCCCTTTAAAAACCTCTATTCTCACCTTCGGCCCTCTTTCCCCACTCACCTCCACCGACCGATCTCTATCCTCGTTATAGAACTTCACAAACTCAACACAAGCACAAACGTGCGAATGAGTTGAAGTCGGTGACCTTAACAAGTAGTTACCTAAGTTACCTATAGCACCATCGTAGACTCCCTCACCCAGAATTGGAGTAGATGCCCAGCTTGAGCCCCTTGCTGTGCACATAGTCCGCACAAGTACCCTTGCTGCGCCCCTAGCCACCCATATACTGCCTCACCCAGACTGCACCCACCCAACCCCCCTCCTCTCCCCCTCCCCCTCCCCCCCCCACCCCCCTCTCACCCAGAATCGGAGTAGATGCCCAGCTTGAGCCCCTTGCTGTGCACATAGTCTGCAATCGCCTTGATGCCCGAAGGGAAGTAGCGAGGGGAGGGCGCCAGGCGACCCTGTACACACAAATGACAAACGATGTAGGATGATAAGATAGTGTGATGAAGAGTAATGTACTAGCGGGTTTAGAGGAACCCTTAGCTTGGAACATTTGAAGGGAATGCACAAAATGGTAAGCAATGTAGGATCTGGCATGCCACTGGATGGATGATGCCAGGTGGATTTTAGTCTGCTCAAGAGTTCGCTCAAAATCTTTGTTCGGACGCGAACGGGTAGTGTAGTTGACATGATGCTGCATAGTGCGAGCACTGAACTCAGTGACCCCGTGGCTGGTCACTGCTTTCGTGCTTGAGTTTTGAGGCGCCTCAACAGTGACCCCGTGGCTGGTCACTGCTTTTGTGCTTGTCCAACTCAGGTTCTCTACAAGGATTCCACAGTTCCAAACAGTTAGCTCTGGAAACGATGCAACAGTTTCCTTTCCAAGGCTTTGCTGAAGCCATGAGGCTGATGCTTCCAGTGCAGATCCGCTCCTAGGCTTTGACTTATAAACTTCGACAGAGCCCGAATTTCTGAAGATGTTAGTACAAGGTCTCATTATCACCCACCTCCGAATCTCGTGAGTCAGCCTGCCAGCAATCATCTGCACAGGCAGGCGGAAGACCAGGGATAGTCACAAGATGTCTTATAATGAAAAGGACGAAATTGAAACGGGGAAAGTACGGACACGCCTCAGGTACAAGATGTACCCGTTTTGATAAACAGGTGACATAAAATGCGGCTGAAGAAGCATGCATAGAACAAGCCATTAAAAAATACGTTCACGAATTCAATAAAGGAGGATGGACGAGGGATGAAGTATTTCACCTATGTTGACATATACATATCCAAGGGCTGCTAGCCCAGATGACACGAGCTTGTCCGCTGCAAAATAATAACAACAACAATAAGAAATTGCTGCGTGAGAATCAGTAAGAAACGCTGAGAAAAGCTGCTGGTATGGAAGCGCTCCAATAGCTGGAAGCTGGAAATGTCTCGCAGAATGACAAGGACAAAGTGTTCCAGGTAGCTTCTTGGACAATCATGAAGTACACTCGGAAAAAAACAAGTATAAGGTAAAGAGTTTCAGTAGACGGATTCAAGAACAGAAACAGCATGGTGAGAACCTTTACCTGCAGCTTTGACAATATCTTCATTAATATTGCACTGAAAGTGGTTCCAGCTGTTCCATCTGCCACATCATGACAAACGGAGATGACGTCTTAGTACCAGAAGCATTTTAGTTCCATCTGTCACATCATCCCTTACGAACAGCACCGTTGTACAACAATAGATGTACCAGCCGAGGTACGCTCATCTTATCTACAGGAAGGAGTCAGCGGACGACATAAGCTACGTTTCAATGTAACGATGGCTCGGGAACAGATGCTATTTCATAAAGTACCGCGCGTGTAACCGGTTTCGTGAGCGTGACGAAGAGATTAAAGTACTTCGTTTGTTTTTAGCTTATATGGATACCCGAGCGGCGGAGTTCGCGAGAACTTTCGATCTCGATGCACGATTCCAGAAAAGTCGAGCTTCTCCTTCCGACCAAGGCTCAGTATGGTCGAAACGGATGCTTCTTCGCTAATAGCCGAAGCTTGATGGAAGATTACAGCGAGACAGAAGCACATCGCCAAGAACGAGGCCTCCATCTTTCGGTCGGACATTGCGATGACACGAGATGCTGAAATGCGTGTCGGAAGCAGGATTCTGCTTCTAAACTCCAGATAATGCCTGAAGGTAATGTGTGATTGGTGACTGAAGCGAATGAGGGAGCTGGGAACGGTTACGCCGCTCCCATAGCCGCTCAGGATCCTTCAAACTACAAAGTCTGTACAGGCTGCTGAGCTCCTATGGTGCCGGAACCCCAATGCTGAACATTTCATGTGATATGGCACACTCCTAGCCGATTGACGTAACCAGCGAACTGGCTGAGCCCCGTGAAAGTGCCTGTATGCTTGGCTGTCTGTTCAACTTCTCTTGATGTACCTTGTCGCGCGGAGTTCAAAGCACACAGAAGCGGGACGGAAGTCGCTAGGGGAAATCTCAAGGTGAACAACACAATCCCTTGAAAACCTTGGGAAAACCGAGCCAGGTTGGACATGACCATTCGACGCTGTCGATCAGCTGAAATCGACGGATATCCTCAACAAAGACGATGAGGGGCGTGTTTCGTGATAGTGCAAAATGTTCAGCTGACAGAAGGTAGAAATTTGATTGTATTTCAGGACTTGCATGATGGCTGGAATGGGGACAATTTACAGCGTGTGGACACTTCGCAACTCCGGACTCTTCGCACTTCGTTCAACTTCTGCCCAACGGTAATTGCAATCCGCAGACAACTCAAGCTCTTTCAAAGCAAACTCGAATTCATAGTTGCAGCCATTCTGGCCCCAAGTGATGATGAGGTGTAAGGCCCGTTCTGTGACGTAATTCCACGTCATCATGAACCGAGCAAAGATCGAATTCAACAAAAGCTGTCCCAAAGCAAGATATAGCGAACAATGAACAATATGAACGATATCTGGCTGAGAGAAGAGTCAATGAGCCAAAGATTGGCCACTTGAGAATACAGATGCTCCTGCAGCCTGCTCGTCCTGAAATTGCATGGTAAGCAGGCAGATGGTGAAGTGGCCTACACATGCATGTTGTAACAGTACTCAAGGCTAAATCAATGGCACTCGTACATGCAAAGCCAATGATGTAGTTTCGACAATGTAACTCGTGACTAGAGAAGACATGAGTTAATTGCTGATGCTGCCATTATGGCAGATGACATTAGTTGAAATAGGCATTTGGAACGGGCTGGATAAGAACAGTTGCGCATCATGGCTCGCAACAAGAGCGCTCAACTCTCCAGCGAAGGCAGAGTTCAAGGTGGATTTCTGCAACACAGAAGCAGCACCACGGGGGAGGAGACACATGAGGAGAGAGTTCAGGGCGAAGAGTGTTTTGAGACGTCTCAAAACACTCCTTTCTTCACGTGGCTATTATTTTTCTTCACCACAGAAGCAGCACCATGGGGCAGGAGACAAACGAGAAGAAATTTCAGGGCGAAGAGAGTTGACGGGCGCACAGTTCTCCAGAAAAGGCAAAGTTCAAGGTGACAGCACCACAGAAGCAGCAGCACATGCTGCAGACACAAGAGAAGAGAGTTCAGTGCGTATGCACGTTGTGTGTGTGGATGAAAGGCTGGGAGAGCAAGGAGGAAGAAAACGAGGGGGATAATGAACATAGGAAGGTGTGTATAGAAACAGTATGAGGCACACCCATCCCAGGGTCTCGAGAATACATGCTCACCAACATACAGAAAGACCTGGTGTATCTGGAAGGGATGGGAAAGAAGGTGGGGAAAGGAGTAGTGAAAAAAAGGCCCTGCTTCTCATTTTCTGACCTTCCAGAGGTCTCGAGCACACACCTGCTGCATTGGATTTCGAGCCAAGCTAAGAAACAGATCTGCAGGTGTATGCCCTGCTACAATGGTCTTGAGGTCACATACACACCTCCCAGAGGTCTCGGGCATACACCTGCTGCACCGGATTCAGCCCTAATAATTTCCAGAGGTGATTTTTAAGTCCACTAAAAAAGCAAGAAACAGACCTGCGCTGCTACAAAGGAATAGAGGTCACGTACCTTCCAGAGGTCTCAGGCATACATCTGCTGCACTGAATACAGCCCCATTGCATTCCAGCTGAAGGTCACATTCTTGCTCCTCACACCAAAATTCACCAATGCCACTACTTGCCGAACCTTACACAGAGACCTGTCCGGACCAGACCTGCAGGTTGGGCAAGACACACATAAGTTTACTGTAAGTTGGAGGCATTTCAAGCGGGTTGTGTAAAGAAAATCACTGATAGTCAGCTGTGTCAATAAAGTAGCAAACACGGTACTCTAGTGACAGTCATGGTGATGCTTATCCAAGCCATTATGCTTATCCAAGCCATGATGCTTATCCAAGCCATGATGCTTATCCAAGCCACGATGCTTATCCAAGCCATGATGCTTATCCAAGCCATGATGCTTATCCAAGCCATGATGCTAATCCAAGCCATGATGCTTATCCAAGCCATGATGCTTATCTAGGTGATACATCTTAAAGCCAGGGTGACACATATTCAGACCAGGATGATGCTTATCCAAGCCATGACATGCAAGAGAGGGTTCAATAATCTCACCTTCACTAGGGAGTAAGGGGAGAGTTACACCTTCCGTGCCAGTGAATCTGCACCAATGACAATGCGACACGTGTCAAGTGTATCCATCACAATCTGCTCAAACCACCTTCGCCCCCCACCCCTCTCTCCTCATCTTCCTCCTTTCCCTCCCCCTCCCCCTCCATTCCCGTCCCTCCCACCCCAACTCTCCCCCTCCCCCTCCCCCCGGTGCCCCTCCCCCTCCTCCCGCAAAAAACACTTACTCGCAGTGGATGGAGCGGTAGAGGCGGCGCACAAGGGCCAGCGAGGCACAGAAGCCGACAGTGCCGAGCATGAGGAAGAGGCCGTAGCAGACGCAGGCCATGCAGACAAAGTAGAATGACGCCTGCATGAATCTCCATGCCCCACTCCCCCTCTGCCTCCCCTCATCTCTCCCATTCCCACTGCCTCACTACACTCCGAAACCCAAACTCCTACAAATCCACCCCCTTCCCTCTCCCCCCTCCCCCTCCTCCCCTGAAAAACACTTACTCGAACTGGATGGAGCGGTAGAGGCGGCACACAAGGGCCAGCGAGGCGCAGAAGCCCACAGTGCCGAGCATGAGGAAGAGGCCGTAGCAGACGCAGGCCATGCAGACAAAGTAAAAAGACGCCTGCATGAAGCCGGACATGTCGGAGTGCGCGTGGTAGTAGTAGCAGCAGTAGCCGAATATGAAGAGCGCGGGGGAGCCACCGCACAACACTGACCTGAGTGGATGGGAAAGAGGGAGAGGGAGAGGGGAATGGGACAGACAGTCAGCTAGCCAGTTCAGTAAGACACTGACAAGACGTCGACCCTAGGATGGAGCTCAGGTGTTAGAAAGCAAGGAGGAAGCAAGATACAGACGAAGCAGTGAAAAGGTGAAAAAGGTTGAGGTAACTTAGGAGTCGCAGGGTGTCCTTGAGAACTCTAAAACAAAACCAGTGGATATCCGGAAAGGCTCAAAGGTGTTGAGAGGCTGAAAGTTTGAGAGGTTGAAATGTTGAGAGGTTGAAAGGCTGAGAGGTTGAGCAATCATACCTCCACCACCACTCGTGGTCTCCCGCTGCCAGATGATTGTACGTGAGCACAATCGCCATGAGCGCCGCCACAACGATGAAATTGATGAACACTATAAAGAGGATGCCGTAGATCGTGTAGGCCTTATACCCCCACAAGTCCGCACAGATATAATACAGCTCGAAGAAAATCGCGCTGAATGGCAGAAACCCAGCCAAGGCCATCTGAGGGGGCGTATGGCGGTACCAGGGCAGCACGGGAATCGCCCTCGGGTAATTTGAGGTCTGGGAATGCCGGTAGGGTGCTAGGAACTCTGCAGCAGTGCTTTTCTTGCCGGCAATGGTGCCAGCCACGAGGAGGGGTAAGGCGATGAGCGCCCAGATGAGGGTGAGGGTGATGATGGTGGTGAAGGGCTTGGCGTTGGTGGAGTGGTAGAGGGTGGCGACGGTGTTGAGGCAGCAGAAAGAGATGACCACCGGCCCGCCGAACACGCACCCCGTCAGCACAATGTTGCGCGCCTGAAATGACAGTGGAAAAGGGGCATGGATGGAGGAAAGGGTGGGGGGATGGGAGGGGACGGAAGGGAAGTGAGGGAAGGGAAGAGGAGGGTAGGAGGGTAGAGGGGGTGGTGAAGGGAGGGTGGGGGACAAAGCAAGCGGACCAGATCACTTAGGAGCTTGAAGCGCCTTACAGATAGGAGAGGTTTCTCATTCGAGTGAAAAACGCATTGCCGGGTTTCTCTTTTATTGCAATGCACTCACACTCACTGCATTGCACTCATCAATGCACCCACTGCATTGCACCCACTGCATCACACCCACTGCATCGCACCCACTGCATCACACCCACTGCACCGCACCCACTGCACCGCACCCACTGCACCGCACCCACTGCATCGCACCCACTGCATCTCACCCACTGCATCTCACCCACTGCATTGCACTCACCCAGCTGGTCCCCTCCATCTGCTTCAGGAAAGACGCAGACGTGTACCCAGCGATTCCAGAGGTCAGCGCATAAATCACCACCAGCGCCGTCCACGAAGCACCGTGATTGAAGGGGTATAACACCCCCACAAGAGTGAGAAAAAACATGAAAAGGACCCTGACGGACAGAAAGCAAGCACGGAAATAGACACGGATAAGGGGCTTGAAGAGATTAAGAGAGAAGTAGCTTCATGATTCTAATGACGTAAGCATTCTGTGCATGCTGTGCTGTCATCACGCACTGAATATGAACCAAACTAAACTAGATCACATCGCACCAATAAGCAAGAGTGTACTAGTGAACAGGCAACCCAACTCACAGGAAGAGCAATTGAGTGCCGCTGCCAAGAACAGCGCAGAAAAGCTCCTTGTTCTCGGGGAAGCGGAAAACGTCGGCATGGATGGACTTCCACCCAGCCTCCTCCTGCTCTTCATGCGAGTACCTGAATAACGCAAAAAAAATCATTGTAAGATGCCGTAAGACATGCTATAGCAACACTGTCTAAATCACACCGTTCGCCACCCTCTTGCATCAACACCCATACACCATCGACTCACTGGGTATTAACACAGGAAACGACAAAATCGCATAACTTGATTGTCCTTCTGCAGTGAATGAAGGGTTGCCGAAAGCGTGAAACGGCGGATTCGTAAGGGAATTGAAGATCACATCGTGCTACGTACTGGTCAAAATCGTTCAAGAAGCTCAGCGACTCTGCCTTAACGTACCTGATTAAGTCGCTCTTGAGGACGTGCTTGATTTTGGACGCGATGAAGCCGGCGAGCAGCAGCACCGTGAAACACGAGTTGAGGATCGAAAACCAGTGTCTCTCCACATGCTGCGGGAGGAGCGCGTACCGCGTGTACCTGTCCATGCGCTTCTCAAACGCCATATCCGTCTGCCTCCACGAGGCGGAATACGTGAATTCCACCTCCATCTCCTTATCCTCGCTATTGTCCAACTCCACCATGCTACCCGCATCAGTCGCCACGCCGATTTCCACCACGCGGTCGTCGTTATACCCTACGTCGAAATGTATGTGCGTGAAAATGGAGATGTGCTGGTTCGTGTCATGCGTGTCACTGTCAACCTTGTCATACGTGTCACTGTCAACCTTGTCATGCGTGTCACTGTCAACCTTGTCATGCGTGTCACTGTCAACCTTGTCATGCGTGTCACTGTCAACCTTGTCATGCGTGTCACTGTCAACCTTGTCATACGTGTCACTGTCAACCTTCTCATACGTGTCACTGTCAACCTTGTCATACGTGTCACTGTCAACCTTGTCATACGTGTCACTGTCAACCTTGTCATACGTGTCACTGTCAACCTTGTCATACGTGTCACTGTCCATGTCAACCCTGCCGATGAAACCCCAGATCGGGAGGGCGTCCAAGTACATTTGGAAATAATAGTCGTTCAGGACCGCGTCGCGGAATTTAAGGACGTCCTTAACGGCGAGCGTTCGCTTGCAGAGCGTGGTTTGCTCGTGATTTACGCGGAATTTCAGGTCGTAGGGGGCCTGAACCATTCGATCGCCGTTCAGCACTTCGCCGAGGGATTGATGCTTCTCGTTGATCTTTCCTGAACACACACACGAAGCGGAATGACTCGCGTGAAACGACGACACTGGTTTGAAAGGTCGCGAATCATGGAAGTGAAACAGCGAAGTTGGAAAGAGCGGGTTGTAGCAGTACAACATGCAGAAACGCAAGCATAGGCTGAGCAATTATTCACGATAGAATAATAATCGAATCGTGCAGAATTCCAAGACTGTGAAACTTGCTGTTGAACGAACCTGGCTGGCAAAACGGCAAATCGACGAACTTGTATGTTTCACTGCGAAATATTCGAGATTGGGCCCAAAACGGTGAAAACTAGAGGCGCCAGCGTTAGCTTCACAAGTGGGAAACCTGAATTCAAAAGCAGCAAAACCTGAAGCGTAGCAAGTCAAAACGGAAGCACAAGCACACTTCTAATTGAAATAATTCTCCCGAGTGTTCACAAAGCATCAGTCACCACTAGACACAGAATCCTTGCGTCAAGGAAGCGACAACGAAGTGGCAACGAAGCGTCGAATCAGAAACACAGCATCGCACCTCGGATTGCTGAAGGGACCGACTTTGTTCACGTAGAAAGGCACGCTGTTCCCTAGGCCATATCTATGGTCGCTTGCACTGGCATCCGCGACAATGACGGCAGCCAGGAGGACAGCGGCAAGCACCCTAGAATGAAAACTTAACGTCCAAGCCATTCCCCGAGGAGATCTGACGGCCGTTGAGGTAAGGTCAGAAATATAGATAAGAAGGTAGAAGTCCTATAACGGCTACGCAAGACACGACACCCTTCAAGGCACGGATTCCAAGATTCAGTAGGCCCTCGTCGGTACAAATTCCTAGAAAACAAAAGATCCGGCAGCAAGAGGAAGTCAAGCGAGTGGTCAACGCCGACGAAAACCGTGCAAGTACATCGCCCTAGGCAGAACCTAGAATGATACACACGATGCCCGGTTGAGCCCCCCGACCTCGCCTTACCCTCTGGGCTTATAAGCGATTCTCGCTTCGCTTGAAGATTTCGTCAATTCGCATCGGGCAAAAAGGGCTTATAAACAACAATTGTAACTCAGAGCTGACTTTTTGACTTTGGTCTCGTCAGTCAAACTTCAGTTTCTGTGGTTCGTATTGGTCGACGTGCTTGTAACGTGGGTGCAACGTCACGGCACAAAACCCACGGGTGCAAGGTTTCCATCCGGTGCAAGGCAATTTCGCGTGCAGGAGGTGAGCATCAGGTGTATCCAGGAGTTTCGTTCTGTCACTTGGTGCTACCCTACTCACCTATATACCTCTTTATTAACAGTATAGTAAATGTACAGTGGATACATGGCAAATCCGAAGACCTAGTGTGAAGAAAGAAAAGCTAGACAGTCCTATTGTGAGGCCTTCTAACAGGCCTCTGTGATGTCTCAATGGTCCACTCCCAAGTAAGCAAAGTCAGCCGCTGAAAGAGAAGTCACCTCGGGTGGAGTGTGGTTGATGCCCTCGGTAAAACGAATTTGCGCACGCCGACAAACAGTGCGAGCCTGCTCACGCTGATGGACTAGAGAAATCCGCTTGTAGAAGTTGGTCTCAAACAGCTGGGGAAGAGAATCCGTTGCACCACTCAAGTCGCGAACTTGTGAAGCCCCCCTACGGCTGCATTGGCGGAGGAAGTTGTTGAAGGAAGAGCCGAAGCAACCGAAGGTTTCGATGACAAGGGGAAACAGTTTGACGTCTGGGCGGTCACGAAGTGCTGCTGCATAGTAGGTAGTCTTCTCACTTTCACGAGTGGCTGCTGCTGAACCGATGACCGTAGCTGCGTTGGAGTGCGGAAACCCCTTCTGAGGATCGGCTACAGAAACATCCAAGGCCCAGGTGGTACCAGAGCTGATGTCGCGACACGTGATGTCTGTTCGGCGGCCAGGCAGTAGGTGTTGGTCTTCCATTTGCGCAGAGAACCCGAGCTCCAAGGCAATGCGATGAACTTCGCGCTTGATTGCGTCATGCACCTTCGTAGGTTCGTTGTTGCTAGGGCAGCGAAGGACGTGAGAATGGATGGAAGGATCGGTGAATAGGGAGTTGCAGGTGCAGGTGAGGGAAGATGAAAGGTGTGGGATAGGAAGGCCTAGGCGGACAGCTGCTGCAATGCGCCACTCGGTCTCTGAAAGCTGCATGTGCGGGGAGGATGGAGCCACAGTAAGCCAGTCACCTGCATGCGGGCCCTGCAAAGAGGTTAGGCGAGCAAGGCGAGCAAGGCGAAGCGGGGACGTGACTGTGGCTCGAACCTGCTCCAGAAGTTCGGCTTCGAGGTGTTGGGAGAGGTGAGTGAAGAGTTTGGGGGGGTAGCCCGATTGTAGCACAGACCACGAGGGGAATCGATCACGAATGTCTTGGGGGAGCATGGCCAAGGTGGATGAGATTGAAGAGTCGAAGTGGTTGATGGTGTCTATGGTAATGTAAGGGCGGAAAAGAGGAGCACCGTCAGTGATGAAGTGGGTGGATAAGGTCGACACAGTCTGCGCCCAGCTGCAAAGGTAGCTGAGAGGGGCGATGGATGCAGAGCTACGAAGACCGAAGCCACCCAAGCGGATTGGAAGCGAGGCTTGGAGACGAGCCGATGCGGACTGTTCAGAGGCGGGATTCCAGTACTCGGAACCTAGGAGCTGAGAGAAGTGGCTGAAAATAGTGCTGTCCCATGAGGAGAGTAGCTCTCGGATTTCGGGAAAAGGTGCGACTGTTCGGAGGAGGAAAGAAGGGCGGGCAGTGATGCATAAGGAAAGGATCCGTGAGGCAATCTGTGGGTCTTGCAGTTGATGCAGTAAGGGGAGGGAGGAAGTGAAAAAAACGAGTTTGTCACGAACTGTAGAGATGACATAACCGTCGGAGCCAGTAGGAACGCCAGCGACAGTGAGACCGCTGGATCACCGTCGTGCGACTCACCTATATACCACTGGATCATACCAAGCCTGGGAACCCCTTCATCGCATTCCTCCCATACCTCAGACAGGAAATGCGACGATTGCAAGTGCCTAGCGACGGAGGCGAAGACGCAGCGACATCCTTGAGGCGATGGTAACGCTGGTAGTTGACAGGAGATGGTTCATGTGGGATTCGCCCTGCTACCGACTACCTCGTCACGACGAACTGTCAACCACCGTTGACCGAGCCTGCTGATTCGTCGTGACTGACCGAGGGACCCTGGTCGTCAATGGTCTCTGGATATTCGGGCAGAGAGGAAACTGGATATTCGCAATAGTATCGCATTATCGCCATTATGGGCATTCGGGCCCCCAAAAAATGGCCTCCTGAAACTGATGCGAAAGCAGACTGCAGCTACAATGAAACCTCGGAAAAATGGGCCCATGTGTTCGGTTGGCATTAAAGCCCGAGGTCAGCATGGTAAAGTTTCAAGTTATATGGATTTGAAATAGGCTGTAGGTGAGGGTGTGCGAAACCTATTTCGGTTGTGTTGCTTTGGCGAGAACTTCATTCATCCGCGAGCAATTTAACATTTCGTGCATACCAAACCTGCGATTCCCACAACGCAAAGCGAAAAGTGAGTCGTAAGAAGAGAGGGGGACAGCCAATAATAAGGTTTCGCATACGACGCATATGGGAAGTGTGGCTGCACTAGAAGTCACTGCAAAACTGATTCATTTCGACTGTCACGCCAGTGCCACCAGCAACGCCAATGAGGAGAGAGTGTCGTTAGGCGTTGTCCCAGAGTCGCAAGAGCTTTGTACAGACAAGTAGGGTAACCCTGTTTTTTACGAATTCAAGTTCAAGAATCTTGAACTTGAAAGTAACCATACAGACAAGTAGGGTAACCCTGTTTTTTACGAATTCAAGTTCAAGAATCTTGAACTTGAAAGTAACCATGCTGTACTCGAGCTTTAAATGGGCCAATATTAATGGCATCAACCGAAAACGACACTTCGCAGAAGCCCGTTTGCACCTGCGCTGATGGAGCGCAGAATCACTGTACGGGCAGCCCGGGCAGCCCTGCAAACCAGCTGGAAACGTCTAATTAAATGGGTTTAGCCCGTCGATGGGTTCAGCCCGTCGATGTGTTAGTGACGGTGTGTTGGTGACGTGCGATTTTCCAGCGGGCACGAAGACGGGTGAGAAAGACCGGGAAAAGTTTGTTTTAGGGCAAGAAGCGATTGCCCCGAATCAGTGATCCGCCGCATGGTGCGGGACCTTGAGGCCGCATGGTACGGCGGATGAGATAATGGCCAGTTTGCCTGAGAAATAGGGCTCGAGGAAGGTTCCTCTGTTGGAAATTGCCAGCGTTAAAAAGGGTGTTCGGCTGTCATTCTATTATTGTCTGGTTCGGTGCTGATCCGCTTATATCGAGCATAGAAAACCTTTCACGCGCTTATCAAAGAAGGTTCCAGGGTGGTCGGTTTACTGTAGCCCATACGGGGAAACCGTTTTTTTAATGCCTGCCGAATTGGGCCCAAAAATGCACACACGCACATGTGCATCGCATCTATCTATAGCGGATGACCAGAGTTGACTTTCCGCTCATAACAATCGGTCGAATAAGATATTGTGTGATCTGGAGAGGTGGCCCTCATTCCCACTCCCAACCTTATAAAACATAATTCCTCCTGGGTGTAGCAAACTATCCATTTGGGAAGTACCTAACTGTCAAATGTTGTAGCCTATAGTGAGGTTTGTCTTAGGGGGTACAAAACTTAGGGTTAGCTATATGTACCCCAACCAACATCAATGCATCATCCATTCTTCATTCTGACATGGTATCAGTTAGGTTAGGATCCTGTGGGATCCCGTTCCGCCGTTCTCCGTTCGTACCACCCGAGCCTGATCCTAGCTCTCGTTCGTCTCCTTCTCGTTGTTACCGAGCCTAGCGCCGAGCCACGCTCTCGTTCGTATCGTTCCAGCTGTTACCGCCCCCCCGTCGCGTCGCCTTCCCCCCCCTCGAGACGCGCCCGTCCCTTTCCCCCTGTCGCGTCGCGCTCCCCCCGTCGCGTCGCGTCCGCTCCTTCCCCCCGTCGCGTCGCCTTCCCCCTGTCCCGTCGCGCCCCCCCCTTTCCCCCCGTCGCGTCGCCCTCCCCCTGTCCCGTCGCGCCCGCCCCTTCCCCCCGTCGCGTCGCCCTCCCCCTGTCCCGTTGCACCCGCCCCTTTCCCCCCGTCGCGTCGCCCTCCCCCTGTCCCGTCGCTCCCGCCCTCTCCCCCCGTCGCGTCGCCCGTCCCGCAGCGCCCGCCACTGTCGCTCGCGACCGCGCTCGTCGCCGCCGCGCCTGCCGCCGTCGCCCGCCCCCTGCGCGCCTCGCCGCGGCCCCGCCGTCGTCGCCCGCCGCTGCGCGCGTCGCCGCTGCGCCCCCTGCCGTCGCCCGCTGCGCGCGCTGCTGGCCCCTGCTGCCATCGCCCGCCGCTGCGCCCGTTCCCGTTCCCCGCTGCTTAGTCCCCTGTTACCTCCCGCTGTCACGCCCGCTGTGGCGTCCGCTCCTCCCCTGTCCCAGAGTACCGCCGAACCCTAATTTGCCTCTCACCTACTGCTGTCCCCTCCCTCTCCGTTCGCGTTCGTTTTCACTATGGCGACTCAGCGTGTCCTTCGTTTCGACGCTGACGGTAGACCTCTTGATTTTTCCGTCTGGCTTCTTCGTGCTCGCCGTCTGTTAGAGAGTCAGGTCCAGGCAGGCGAGACCCTCTGGGCGCACGCTACTGGTGCCCTACCTGCGCCCCCCGACCCTACGCCTTTAGGACCTGCCCCTGACGACGCCGCTAGAGCCCGCTTTGCCACTCAGCGAGCTGACCAGACGGCTTGGACGTCACGTGACGCTGCGGCCTGCATCGCGCTCAGCAGCCTCCTCCCTGAGTCTGAGGAGGTTCACTTCACTCAGGTTCGCACCGCTGCTGAGTACCTCACTGCGATTAAGGCCCGCTACTCTACTCCCGCTGCTGTCTCTCTTGGCCGCCTGTTCCTCCCGTTCCTGTTTCCTGACCTGGCGTCTTTTGAGCGCTCTGCTGACTTGATCGCTCACCTCCGCTCGCTCGACGCTAGTTACCGCGCTGCTTGCACTGAGGCACAGCTTGCACTGCTTCCTCCCCCCATGGCGATTACTATCTATTTCATCGCCACTAGCCTCCCTGACCGCCTTGCCTCCGTTCGCGACGCGCTTCTGCTGAAGCACCCTAGTGAGCTCACCGTCGAGGTCCTTGAGTCTGCACTCAAGGACGTCGAGAGCAACCTTCGCTCGGTAGCCGCTGCCTCTGGTGCTGTGCCCCCCCACTCTTCCACGGGTGCACAGTCCCGCAGTTACCCACCTTTACTGCCTCACTTGCCACTGCCGCTACTGACGCGACTGCAGCTGCTGTTACGACTGCGTCGCGGTCCCGCGGTAGGAGTGGCAAGAAAGGCGGTTCTGGTGGTGGTAGTGGAGGTGGAGGCGGAGGTAGTGGAGGTGGCGTTGCGCCTGGCGGCGGTGGAGGTTCAGGGCCTGGAGAGGCGCCTCGTGCAGTGACTGGTGACTCCACTGCGCCTGCTGGTGGTGGCGACGCCCGAGTTCGTCAGTCGCCTCCTGTACTTCCTGCCCCGGTTGGTGGAGCAGCGGCGTGGTACCAGGCTCAGCGTCAGCAGCAGCTTCTGCAGCACCAGCAGCCCCTCTCCTCCCAGCAGCCTCAGCAGCAGCAGCGGCAGCAGCTGGCTCCAGGGTCGGGGCTGCGTCAGACCCAGCGCGGTGCTGCTTACACTCCCTGCACCTACCAGGTTCTGACAGGCACTCGTCGTGGCCACCCTTGTGGCCGGTTTCACCCCCCTGGTCAGTGCTTTGCTCAGCTCACTGACACGGTTCGTTTGGTCTACGGGGTTGGTGCTCCTGCCCCTGACTGGCTGCCTCTTGTTCAGCGTTACGGCTCCGCTCTGTGGGGCATGTCTGCTGAGCAGTTAGTTGATCTGATTGGTAATCCCCATGCTATGTATGCTGTTGTTGACTCTAGTGTTTCTGACTCTGTTTACTCTGGTGTTGTTAGCTTAGGTGCTAGCCTTGCTCAGTTGCCTGTTGCTAGTGTAGGTTCTTGTGTAGACTCTAGTCCAGCGGCTACCTCAGAGGACGGTTCGCTGTCGTTCACGCTGGACTCTGGAGCCTCTCACTGCTTCTTTCGTGACAGCACGACACTTACGCCTCTTCCTGCGCCTGTTTCTGTGGCGCTGGCTGATCCCACTTCGGGACCAGTCACCGCGCGTCACACTACCACCTTGCCGTGTCCGGCTGCTCCTTCTGGGTCTCTCACTGGGTTTCACGTCCCCTCGTTCTCCCGGAACTTGGTGGGCGTGCGACCCCTCGTGAGTCAGCACGTGGGTGTGTGGTTTGAGCCTTCTGGAGAGACTGCGGTGTGTGTTGACGGGGACTCTTACCAGCCCCTCGCCACTTTTGCTGCTGAGCCGGGCTCCGGTCTCTACACTCTTCACACTGGCCCGCGCGCTCAGCAGCGACTGCAGCAGCAGCAGCAGCCGCAGCAGCAGCAGCAGCAGCAGCCGCAGCCGCAGCCACAGCCGCCCCTCCTGCCCCCGGCCCCTGTTTTGCCCCCCGTTCGAGTCCTCGCGTCTCACCAGGTTGCTCCGTCCCCCCAGGTAGCTGTGTCTTGTCAGGTTCCTCCGTCTAGTCCGGTCGCTGCGTCGTGCTCCTGTCGGTCGCTTGCCCACCCCACCGTTTTGTGGCACCACCGGCTGGGGCACCCTTCTCCTCCTCGTCTTCGCGCTATGTCTCGTCAGCGTCTTGTCTTAGGTCTCCCGCGTGTCTTGCCGTCGCTGCCGCCGTCCCTTGCACCACCGTGCGGTCCTTGCGTCGAGGGTAGGCTGCGCGCCACCCCTCACTCCTCCTCCCTTCGTCCGGCCACCGAGCCTTTTGAGACGCTGCACTTGGACGTCTGGGGCCCCTCTCCTCGCCCTGGCCCTGAGCGTGAGCGTTTCTTTTTGGTGGTCGTTGACGACTACTCCCGCTACACCACAGTGTTCCCCTTGGCGAGGAAGTCTGAGGTGACTTCTACGCTGATCAGGTGGTTGCTTACCACCCAGGACACTCGTGGTCGTCGTGTCAGCTGTCTCCACTCCGACCGCGGGGGCGAGTTTCGCTCCGGCATTCTCGCTGGATTCTGTCGCGAACAGGGCATTCGTCAGTCCTGGACGCTTCCGGAGTCCCCACAGCAGAATGGGGTTGCTGAGCGTCGCATAGGCCTGGTCATGGAGATTGCCCGCACCTCCTTGACTCACGCCCGTGCCCCCCATTTCCTGTGGCCATACGCGGTCAGGTACGCCGCGCACCAGCTGAACCTCTGGCCACGCGTCTCTCGGCCGGAGGCTTCACCGACCAGTCTTTGGACAGGGTCCCCTGGTGTCGCGTCGAGGTTTCGTGTCTGGGGGTGCTTGGCTCTTGTCCGCGACACCTCCGCGGACAAGCTCTCGCCTCGCGCCGTTCCTTGTGTCTTCCTTGGTTTCCCTGAGGACTCCTCTGACTTCACCTTTTACCACCCTCCCTCTCACCGGTTCTTTGACTCCCGTGACGTCCGTTTCGAGGAGTCCACCCCCTACTACGTCAGGTACCCCAGTCGAGGTCTCCCGGTCCCTCCCCCCCCTCTCTTCCTGACCGCCGCTCCCCCGCCTGCTCCCCCGGTACAGCCTCCCCCCCCTGGTCCAGCCCCGTCTGGTGTGTCTCAGGCTAGCCCTCCCCCTTCGGTAGCCCCCCCTGTACAGCCTCCCTCCCCACAGTCTTCCTCGCCGCCTCCTGCAGGTGCTCCCTCTCGGGAGGTTGGTCCTGCGACTGTCCCTGTACAGGTCTCTGGTTCTGGGGGTGCTGGAGTTGGAGCTGAGCCGCGGGTTGCAGAGGACTCTTGTCTTCCGGGGGCTGGTACTGGTCGTGCGGAGTCTGGGGGTGCTGGTGCGGAGTCTGGGGGTGCTGCGTCTGGGGGTGAGGGTGTCCCTTCGGTTTCTGGAGAGCCTGGGTCTGGAGCTGGTGTTGGTGCTGCCTCTGGGGGTGGTGTGCTTGGTGCTTCGGAGGTCGACTCTGGGGCTGCCGCTGCCCCGGACACTACTCCTTCCCCCCACCCCTACCCGACCAGGTTCCAGGCTCGTGTTCGCCGTGCTCGTGAGGAGCAGCTGGAGTTGGAGAGAGAGGAGAGAGAGTTGCAGCGGCTCGAGGAGCAGGAGCGACAGCAGCAGGAGCAGCAGCAGGGGCAGCAGCCGCTGGAGCAGCAGCAGCCGCAGCAGCCGCAGCAGCAGCAGCAGCAGCTGCTGCCGTCTCCTCCTCCTGTCTCGGGTCTTCGGACCCTTGGTCTCCCGTCTCCCTCTCCTTCCTCCTCCCCCTCTCCTCCCGTCTCTGGTCCTCCGCTTCCTCCTCCTGACCCCTCTCCCGCTGTTTTCCCTCGTTCTCAGTCTTCGTTGTCTCCTCCTCCTTCTCAGACTTGGGCCTCTCGTCGCTCCCCTCGTGCTCGTCCCTCGTCTCCTGTTCCCTTCACTGACCTTCGTACAGCCTTCCTTTGTTCTCGTCCACCTCGTCCGTCTCCGTCTGTGCTTCCGTCTCCTCCTGAGTCGGCCCTCACTGTGTCGCTTCCTTCTCCTGTCACTGACTACTACCGCACGTACCGTCCTGTTCTCTCTCGTGTTCTCGCCTCTCTTGTTACCCACCCTCGTGCCTCTGTGTCCTCTGTGTCCGCTCTTACTGCCGCAGTCACTGAGTTTGCCTCTACCCGCCGCCTTGACTTCGCCACCGCTCTTGTGGCTGCTCCTCCTTCCAGTCCTCTGGCCGTCGGGGGTGTGTCTGCCCTTGGCTGTGACGCCCTAGAGGACAGGCAGTTTGAGCTAGAGTTCCTGGCGGCCGCTTCCCCTCATCTCTGTGCCATGCTCCTCGCCCCTGAGGGTGACCCCGACGCCCTTGACATTCCGACTCCTCGCACTTACGCTGAGGCAGTGTCAGGGCCTTGGGCCTCTCAGTGGAGAGCTGCCATGGACGCAGAGATGGCCTCCTACAGATCCACAGGCACCTATGTCGATGAGGTTCCCCCTCCGGGGGCGAACGTAGTCGACGGCATGTGGATCTACAGGGTGAAGCGGCCACCGGGATCTCCTCCGGTCTTCAAGGCGCGCTACGTGGCTAGAGGTTTCAGTCAGCGCGAGGGAGTTGACTTCTTTCAGACCTTCGCGCCCACCCCGAAGATGACCACTCTTCGGGTGTTACTACACGTAGCAGCACAGAGAGACTACGAGTTACACTCTCTCGACTTCTCTACTGCTTTCCTTCAGGGCAGTCTTCATGAGGAGGTCTGGTTGCGTCGTCCCTCTGCCTTCACTGGCTCTTTCCCTCCTGGGACCCAGTGGAGGCTGAGGCGACCGGTTTACGGTCTTCGTCAGGCTCCTCGTGAGTGGCACGACACCCTGCGTTCTACCCTGTCTGACCTTGGGTTCCAGCCGTCTTCTGCTGACCCGTCGCTGTTCGTTCGTCGTGGCCCCACACCTTTCTTTGTTCTGGTCTACGTTGACGACCTTGTTTTCGCCACCCCTGACAGGGTTGCTTTGGCACACGTGAAGTCCGAACTGCAGAAGAGACACACCTGCACTGATCTTGGTGAGCTGCGCCACTACCTTGGCCTGCAGATCACCAGGGACAGAGCTGCTCGCACCATTACACTTTCACAGTCACACATGGTGCAGCAGGTCCTTCAGCGGTTCGGGCTTCAGCACTCCACAGTACAGCGCACACCTCTTGCTGTTGACCACAGACTCACTGGACCCTTTCCTGACGAGCCGTTCGAGCCTAGTGGTCCCTACGCTGAGCTTGTGGGTTGCCTCATGTACCTGATGACTTGTACTCGCCCGGACCTCGCCTTCCCTCTCAGCGTTCTTGCGCGCTTTGTTGCGCCAGGGAGACACCGTCCTGTTCACTGGACAGCAGCTGTGAGGGTGGCGAAGTACCTAGCGACGACATCAGGCATGGGGCTAGTTCTTGGAGGGCAGCAGTCTGTCGTACTTACTGGTCACTGTGACTCCTCTTACGCTGACGACGCTGAGACTCACAGGTCTACTCAGGGGTACTGTTTCAGCCTGGGTTCTGGAGCTGTTTCCTGGCGGTCCACGCGCTCCTCTTCGGTCTCGACCTCTACAGCTGAGGCTGAGATCTACGCTGGTGCCATGGCGGCACAGGAGCTGCGTTGGTTGACCTTCTTGCTCACCGACCTTGGTGAGCGGCCGAGCTCTGCACCGACCTTGTTCACTGACAACAAGGCGTCTATTCTCCTTTGTCGAGAGCCACGACTGGAGAGCAGAGTGAAGCACATTCACGTCAGGTACTTTCTTCTGCGAGAGTTGCAGAGGCGTGGACAGGCTCGCTTTGAGTTTGTGGAGTCCGAGGCCAACACTGCAGACATCTTCACCAAGGCGCTTCCGCCTTGTGACCACCAGAGGTGCTGTGTGCAGTTAGGCCTTGTTGACACTGGTTCTCGTGTTGCTTAGACTTGAGTGTACTGTTTACTTTGCTTTCTATATATCTCTGTTACTTCTTGGACTGGCCTTGTGGCCACTGTTGTTTGTGCTCAGACTGTGTGGTGACATTGTGATCCACCCTGAGCTTCGTTTCTTGGACTGGTCTTGTGACCGTACTCGTTTGGTTCTGCTAGACACCCCTCACTTAGGCTATGGGGGTGTGTCAAATGTTGTAGCCTATAGTGAGGTTTGTCTTAAGGGGTACAAAACTTAGGGTTAGCTATATGTACCCCAACCAACATCAATGCATCATCCATTCTTCATTCTGACACTAACCTATAGTAGCGCATGCTCTCACAAGTGCTAGAGTCCGTATACACCAACACAGGCTCCACGTCATCTTAGGACAAAAAAAAGGATTCAACGCCAGCTTACTCAATACAGCAGTCTATCGCATACCAGTAAAGCATAATATCACGCTCCGATCACGCATTCAATCACATACATATTCTATCGCATATGGATAAGGCACTATCGCGTTCAAACACGATCAGCAGTCTATATGGCCAGACATTGCCCGCCCCACAGCTTATTCCTAGCCTGGCTTACAGGTTTTGCGGCGTAATCATGGCTTCGTGCAATCGGATTCATAGCAAGCTTCAGTTCAGACATCTGGTACAGGCTTGAGAACAAACAGTTGCACGTCATGGCTCGCAACACGAGCACTCAGCTCCCCAGAGAAGAGAGAATTCAAGGTGGATTTCTGCACCAGAGGGAGCATCCGAAGGAGCAGACACATGAGAAGAGAGTTCAGAGTGTGTGTGTGTGTTGTGCGTGCCTGAAACACGGGAGCCCAGCTCTCCAGAAAAGGCGGGATTCTTGGTGGATTTCTGCACCACAGAAGAAGCAGCATGGGGAGGAGACACATAACAGAGATCGTGCTGGTTGTGTGTGAACGAGTAAGCGTCTGCATGATTGTGTGCCAGAGGTATGGGTGTTTACAAATGCCATTGGGAAGGGGAGGACGATGGATGGCGCGGAAGAGTGAAACAAAGCGGGAAAGGAGCCTCAAACTTTGTGTGTGGAAGACGCTGTGGGTTATGTGTGTATGTGTATGTGTGTGTGTGTGTGTGTGTGCGCGCGCGCGCGCGCGCCCGCATGTGTGTGTGTGTGCACGCGGGCGCGTGTGCGCGCGAGAGGAAACAGCTGCTGCTACTCAGTCACTCACCTCCCAGAGGTCTCGCGCATACATTTGCTGCACCGCATTCAGCCCTACTGTTTTCCAGCCGACGGTCACATTCTCGCTCCTAGCACCACGATTCACCAAAGCCACTACTTGCCGACCCTCGGATAGAGGTCCGGCCCAGACCTGCAGGTTGGGGCAAGGTCACGAAATAAAAGTGTAAGGTGGAGGCATTTAAAGTGAATGATCAGAAGCGAACAACTGAAAGTGGCCTTTATCACTGACATGAAAGCGAGCATACCACTGTGACGACAAAAATAAGGGAGATCGTCACTATTACTCACGCACACACCATGGCATGCAAAAGAGAATTGACCTCACCTCCACCAAGGAGTTATGGGAGAGTTGCACCTTCCGTGCCTGCACTCCCAGTGAATCTGCATCGCACCAGTCACAGCACGACAGGAGTCAGTGGAACTGGACGTGTGCATGTACCATAACCTGCTTGAACCGCCTCGGCATGTCTTGTGCATGTAGGCTTGTTTAACTCTGTGCACCCCTTGCTGGCACCCCTTGCTCGCACCCCTTGCTTGGGCTCATCTCATACAACCAACTTTTCAGTAACAAGCTACAGCATGCACATACAACAGCAAGGGCGCGTACCCTGGATGACAGCAAGGACTTTGTCGTTGCTCAGAATGCTCATCAACTCATTCGAGGGATCAAAGATGTCGCAGCCATGTTCTTCATCGAATTAAATCACATCTCGTCAGAACACACGTTGGAGTTGACTCAGAGCGCTTACCCTGGTTGACTCAGAGCGCTTACCCTGGTTGACTCAGAGCGCTTACCCTGCTTGACTCAGAGCGCTTACCCTGCTTGACTCAGAGCGCTTACCCTGCTTGACTCAGAGCGCTTACCCTGCTTGACTCAGAGCGCTTACCCTGCTTGACTCAGAGCGCTTACCCTGGTTGACAGCAATCACTTCTTTGTTGCTCAGAATGCTCATCGTCTCATACAGGCAGCAGAGAGATCGCAGCCAATCAGGAGAGGCGCCTGCTAGGAGGTACGGGGGTGGGTAGATGGGTGGGTGGGTGGGAGCCTGTGAGCGAATTCTATAAAAAAACCTCTAATGACAGCCTTTGAGACACGCACAGCCTTTGAGACACGCACAGCCTTTGAGACACGCACAGCCTTTGAGACACACACAGCCTTCGAGACACGCACAGCCTTTAACTTACAACCCAGCCGAACTCCACCCAGCCGTTCTTCATGATGGCCCCGCCACCCAGCCGCACCCTCATGCATGCATGCGTGTAAGCATCTATACATGCATGCGTGTAAGCATCTATACATGCATGCGTGTAAGCATCTATACATGCATGCGTGTAAGCATCTATACATGCATGCGTGTAAGCATCTATACATGCATGCGTGTAAGCATCTATACATGCATGCGTGTAAGCATCTATACATGCATGCGTGTAAGCATCTATACATGCATGCGTGTAAGCATCTATACATGCATGCGTGTAAGCATCTATACATGCATGCGTGTAAGCATCTATACATGCATGCGTGTAAGCATCTATACATGCATGCGTGTAAGCATCTATACATGCATGCGTGTAAGCATCTATACATGCATGCGTATAAGCATCTACACATGCATGCATGTAAGCATCTGTACATGCAGAGGTATCCTCACCTTCATGGTGGCCCCGCCTCACCTCCCTGCCTCACCTTCATGCATGCATGTATGCAAGCATATATAGATGAATAGGTATCCTCACCTTCATGATGCCCTTGCCTCACCTTCATGATGGCCCATCGCACCTTCATGATGGCCCATCGCACCTTCATGATGGCCCATCTCACCTTCATGATGGCCCATCCCACCTTCATGATGGTCCATCTCACCTTCATGATGGCCCATCGCACCTTCATGATGGCCCATAGCACCTTCATGATGGCCCATCTCACCTTCATGATGGCCCATCGCACCTTCATGATGGCCCATCGCACCTTCATGATGGCCCATCGCACCTTCATGATGGCCCATCTCACCTTCATGATGGCCCATCGCACCTTCATGATGGCCCATCGCACCTTCATGATGGCCCATCGCACCTTCATGATGGCCCATCGCACCTTCATGATGGCCCATCGCACCTTCATGATGGCCCAGAGGCTGAAGTGCACACGATACTCCGACTCCCTCATGCCGCCATTCCCCACCTGCAGCATGTCGGGGTCTGGTGGGGGGGAGGGGGGGGGGAGGGGGGAGGTATGTTAGGGGGGAGGTATGTTAGGGGGGAGGTATGTTAGGGGGGAGGTATGTTAGGGGGGAGGTATGTTAGGGGGGAGGTATGTTAGGGGGGAGGTATGTTAGGGGGGAGGTATGTTAGGGGGGAGGTATGTTAGGGGGGAGGTATGTTAGGGGGGAGGTATGTTAGGGGGGAGGTATGTTAGGGGGGAGGTATGTTAGGGGGGAGGTATGTTAGGGGGGAGGTATGTTAGGGGGGAGGTATGTTAGGGGGGAGGTATGTTAGGGGGGAGGTATGTTAGGGGGGAGGTATGTTAGGGGGGAGGTATGTTAGGGGGGAGGTATGTTAGGGGGGAGGTATGTTAGGGGGGAGGTATGTTAGGGGGGAGGTATGTTAGGGGGGAGGTATGTTAGGGGGGAGGTATGTTAGGGGGGAGGTATGTTAGGGGGGAGGTATGTTAGGGGGGAGGTATGTTAGGGGGGAGGTATGTTAGGGGGGAGGTATGTTAGGGGGGAGGTATGTTAGGGGGGAGGTATGTTAGGGGGGAGGTATGTTAGGGGGGAGGTATGTTAGGGGGGAGGTATGTTAGGGGGGAGGTATGTTAGGGGGGAGGTATGTTAGGGGGGAGGTATGTTAGGGGGGAGGTATGTTAGGGGGGAGGTATGTTAGGGGGGAGGTATGTTAGGGGGGAGGTATGTTAGGGGGGAGGTATGTTAGGGGGGAGGTATGTTAGGGGGGAGGTATGTTAGGGGGGAGGTATGTTAGGGGGGAGGTATGTTAGGGGGGAGGTATGTTAGGGGGGAGGTATGTTAGGGGGGAGGTATGTTAGGGGGGAGGTATGTTAGGGGGGAGGTATGTTAGGGGGGAGGTATGTTAGGGGGGAGGTATGTTAGGGGGGAGGTATGTTAGGGGGGAGGTATGTTAGGGGGGAGGTATGTTAGGGGGGAGGTATGTTAGGGGGGAGGTATGTTAGGGGGGAGGTATGTTAGGGGGGAGGTATGTTAGGGGGGAGGTATGTTAGGGGGGAGGTATGTTAGGGGGGAGGTATGTTAGGGGGGAGGTATGTTAGGGGGGAGGTATGTTAGGGGGGAGGTATGTTAGGGGGGAGGTATGTTAGGGGGGAGGTATGTTAGGGGGGAGGTATGTTAGGGGGGAGGTATGTTAGGGGGGAGGTATGTTAGGGGGGAGGTATGTTAGGGGGGAGGTATGTTAGGGGGGAGGTATGTTAGGGGGGAGGTATGTTAGGGGGGAGGTATGTTAGGGGGGAGGTATGTTAGGGGGGAGGTATGTTAGGGGGGAGGTATGTTAGGGGGGAGGTATGTTAGGGGGGAGGTATGTTAGGGGGGAGGTATGTTAGGGGGGAGGTATGTTAGGGGGGAGGTATGTTAGGGGGGAGGTATGTTAGGGGGGAGGTATGTTAGGGGGGAGGTATGTTAGGGGGGAGGTATGTTAGGGGGGAGGTATGTTAGGGGGGAGGTATGTTAGGGGGGAGGTATGTTAGGGGGGAGGTATGTTAGGGGGGAGGTATGTTAGGGGGGAGGTATGTTAGGGGGGAGGTATGTTAGGGGGGAGGTATGTTAGGGGGGAGGTATGTTAGGGGGGAGGTATGTTAGGGGGGAGGTATGTTAGGGGGGAGGTATGTTAGGGGGGAGGTATGTTAGGGGGGAGGTATGTTAGGGGGGAGGTATGTTAGGGGGGAGGTATGTTAGGGGGGAGGTATGTTAGGGGGGAGGTATGTTAGGGGGGAGGTATGTTAGGGGGGAGGTATGTTAGGGGGGAGGTATGTTAGGGGGGAGGTATGTTAGGGGGGAGGTATGTTAGGGGGGAGGTATGTTAGGGGGGAGGTATGTTAGGGGGGAGGTATGTTAGGGGGGAGGTATGTTAGGGGGGAGGTATGTTAGGGGGGAGGTATGTTAGGGGGGAGGTATGTTAGGGGGGAGGTATGTTAGGGGGGAGGTATGTTAGGGGGGAGGTATGTTAGGGGGGAGGTATGTTAGGGGGGAGGTATGTTAGGGGGGAGGTATGTTAGGGGGGAGGTATGTTAGGGGGGAGGTATGTTAGGGGGGAGGTATGTTAGGGGGGAGGTATGTTAGGGGGGAGGTATGTTAGGGGGAGGTATGTTAGGGGGGAGGTATGTTAGGGGGGAGGTATGTTAGGGGGGAGGTATGTTAGGGGGGAGGTATGTTAGGGGGGAGGTATGTTAGGGGGGAGGTATGTTAGGGGGGAGGTATGTTAGGGGGGAGGTATGTTAGGGGGGAGGTATGTTAGGGGGGAGGTATGTTAGGGGGGAGGTATGTTAGGGGGGAGGTATGTTAGGGGGGAGGTATGTTAGGGGGGAGGTATGTTAGGGGGGAGGTATGTTAGGGGGGAGGTATGTTAGGGGGGAGGTATGTTAGGGGGGAGGTATGTTAGGGGGGAGGTATGTTAGGGGGGAGGTATGTTAGGGGGGAGGTATGTTAGGGGGGAGGTATGTTAGGGGGGAGGTATGTTAGGGGGGAGGTATGTTAGGGGGGAGGTATGTTAGGGGGGAGGTATGTTAGGGGGGAGGTATGTTAGGGGGGAGGTATGTTAGGGGGGAGGTATGTTAGGGGGGAGGTATGTTAGGGGGGAGGTATGTTAGGGGGGAGGTATGTTAGGGGGGAGGTATGTTAGGGGGGAGGTATGTTAGGGGGGAGGTATGTTAGGGGGGAGGTATGTTAGGGGGGAGGTATGTTAGGGGGGAGGTATGTTAGGGGGGAGGTATGTTAGGGGGGAGGTATGTTAGGGGGGAGGTATGTTAGGGGGGAGGTATGTTAGGGGGGAGGTATGTTAGGGGGGAGGTATGTTAGGGGGGAGGTATGTTAGGGGGGAGGTATGTTAGGGGGGAGGTATGTTAGGGGGGAGGTATGTTAGGGGGGAGGTATGTTAGGGGGGAGGTATGTTAGGGGGGAGGTATGTTAGGGGGGAGGTATGTTAGGGGGGAGGTATGTTAGGGGGGAGGTATGTTAGGGGGGAGGTATGTTAGGGGGGAGGTATGTTAGGGGGGAGGTATGTTAGGGGGGAGGTATGTTAGGGGGGAGGTATGTTAGGGGGGAGGTATGTTAGGGGGGAGGTATGTTAGGGGGGAGGTCAGTTCCCCACCTGCAGCATGTCCGGGTCTGATGAGGGGAGGGGGTTTTGGGAGGAAGGGTCAAAGGCAGCACGAGTCCCAGACGCATGGTGGAGCGAGCGAGGCAATGTGATTTCCCACCCTGCAGCTCCAAGATTGAAGGCCAGTGAGATGGGCTCATTTTTTAACAGCAGGAGGAGGGAGGGGCAGCAAAACGGTCAGTCTGAGAATTGTCAAAAGTGGCTTAAGAAAAATTAAAGCAAACGTGGCAGACCATAGGAGCATGATGCGGCTTTAACACAACCGAGTTAAATGCAGTAAAGGTTAATATAATCACTGCCCATTTCAATGTGAATCTGATATGCCACCTCCTGTATTGTTCACCCTTTGAATCCCGCATTGATACACACCGTGTGATGAGGTTGTATTCCATGCACGTCTCAAAAACAACCTCATCACACGTTGATATGCCACCTCCTGTATTGTCCACCCTTTGAATCCCGCATTGATACACACCGTTCCACCCGCCGGGCTTGGCGTATTTGGCCCACTTGTTGTTGATATCTGCAATGCGCATCATGCTGCTAAGGGGCAGGTACGACATGCATGCACACAGGCAGGTACGACATGCATGCACACAGGCAGGTATGACATGCATGCACACAGGCAGGGAGGCAACGTGTCGTTACTGATGCCACAAGCACATGTTGTTCATGTCTGCAATGCGAGTCATGCTGCATGTGAAACGTGCCACATGCATGAAAACAGGCAGAGATGCAAGATGGAAACAGGGATTTTCGAGGCGTGCTTTGAAACATGTTCCTCCACCTCTCCCTTCCCCCCCCTTCCTCCCCCTTTCCCCCCCGGCCTCTCCCAGTCTTTCCAATTTCCCTTATACCTTCTTAGCTTCCCCCATCACCCACTCTCCCATCCACTGTGCATAAATCAAGGTGGCCTTTGAGTCGACTTAATAGTCCATTCGACTCTCCACCACTCCTGTGGACATCTATGAAGTTTATCCACAGCAAGCTTGATGGCACACGTGTCCTCATCTCCCCCACGTGTCCTCACCTCCCCCACGTGTCCTCACCTGCTCCACGTGGCAATCCTCACCTGCTCCACGTGGCAATCCTCACCTGCTCCACGTGGCAATCCTCACCTGCTCCACGTGGCAATCCTCACCTGCTCCACGTGGCAATCCTCACCTGCTCCACGTGTCCTCAATGTCACGTGTGGTGCGCCACGTATCTGCCACGCCGTACGCCCACAGAGCAGGGAGGTCCTGCCCCCTGCAGGCAGCAGCACACGTGGGGAGATGCAGGCAGCAGCACACGTGGGGAGATGCAGGCAGCAGCACACGTGGCAGCCCAAGATACGAGTCCGGGAAGGCTTGTGGATGACACGTGTGGATGACGTGTGGATCCTCCGGTTGACTGGGAGAAGGAGAACGCAGCCTTGCTACAAAAATTTGGGGATGATTCGAATCACTCCCAAACAAACATGGAGTTTGTCGCAAAGGCAGCATTCGCAGATGGTATTCGCACAGGCAATGGACCAAGCAGGGTTGTGTCACTCAGCTCAACTCACCATTCGCACATGGAGAAGAATATGTCTCTTCCAGTGGCCTCCAATGCATTGCGCATGGTTGTGTAGCTGATGGCAGTGGGAGGCATGGGAGGGATTGGGGACATGTGAGACATGGGGGACATGTGAGACATGTGAGACATGGGGACGTGGGAGGATTGGGAGGCATGGTGGCGGGCATGGAGGGCATGATGAGAAGCATGACATTCAATATTTCAAAAGGCGTCTAGCATGGTAACCAAGACAGCGTGGAGTGGACGAAGTTTGGCTCATGGGCGTGAAATAGGAGACTCGAGATTCGAGAGTTAAAGTTGACTCAAACAAGCAAGGCTGGTGCAAGGTGTGAGTACCGTTTCTTGCTGGGACTGCCGTCATTGTAGCAGTTGTCGTATTTGAGATAGTCCACTCCCTGCCGCATGCACGTGCAATAAGCAAGGAAGACGAGTTTTTGGGTCGACCCAGAGGTCATTGTAGCAGCTGTCATACTTGAGATAGTCCACTCCCGGCCCCAGCCAAACACGTTGCACAAACAATATGAGTTTTGAGGCGCCTAAAAACCAGCCATCATTGTAGCAATTGTCATGCTACAGATAATCAATCTGCGTGCGGTTGAGGTGCCTCAAACGCCATACTTGAGATGATCAACTCTGTGCCAGAATGAAGCACGTGGCACAAGCAAGCGGACGCCCTCAACTTCTTTTATCTTAGAAACAGTTAAGCCATGGCAGGCAACTTAGTGGTATTCACTCCGACTCCCTGCTTCAAGCGAGTCAGAACTTGAGGCAACCTAGAGACTGTACCACAGTAACTAGTGCAACACGCATGTGTGCATGGGTGCATGGGTGCATGTCTGCATGTCTGCATGTGGGCATGGGTGCATGTCTGCATCTCTGCATGTGTTCATGGGTGCATGGATGGGTGCATGTCTGCATCTCTGCATGTGGGTATGGGTGCATGTCTACATCTCTGAATGTGTGCATGGCTGCATGTCCCACTCACCCATTCAGCGAAGGTGGAAGCATCCACTGCCTCGTGCCACAGCGAGCCAGGCTTCAATGCGCATGTGCGAATGCTGGCGGGGGTGGATGGAGGGAACAAGACGGGCAAATACACAATAAAATCAAACATGTGGACAAACCTGCTACCAGTTATCTTCTCGCTTACCTATGCTTATGTTGACGTGCAAAAAGTTGAACAGAAAATGAGATTGCTTGCTGTCGAGGATGATGCCCTTCATGAAAAGGTCCAAGAACTCCGGCGTTCGTTGAATGTCTTATAGTCTTCCAATAAGGTTCTCGAGACGTTGCGTTGGAAGTCTTCAAAAAATCCAGCCAACGCTGGAGTTCCTGGACGTTTTCATGAAGCCCATCATTCTCAACAGCAAGAGATTTCCCCTTCTATTCCGCATTCGTCACAAACCCTGCTTAGCTCACTCAACTCAGCTCCATCCACTGCCTCACCTGGGCTCCCCCTCACCGGAATTGCATCGCACCGCATCCCCACTCATCCAAAATGCACCTCCCTTATCACCTGAAATCAGAGTAAATGCCCAACTGGAGCCCCTTGTCGTGCAGATAGTCTTCACAACTGCCCCCCATCCTTCATTCCATCACCACCCCTGCGTACCTCAGCTTCATCCATTCACCTCCTAACTGGACTGCACTCTCCCCTCATCAGAGCTCTCACCCAGCATCGGAGTAAATGCCCAGTTTGAGCCCCTAGCTGTGCACATAGCCAAGCTGTGACTTATCCTCCGAACCCCCTCAACCGCCACCAGCCAGCCGTGCACAGCTCAGCCTATCTCTATACAGACAGCCTCACCCAGAGCATCAGCATAAAAGCCCAACTTGAGCCCCTTGCTGAGCACATAAGCCGCAACCCCCTTCTTCCTCTGTCCCCCCATAACAACCATCGAACCCCACCCATTTCCAACCCCCCCTCACCCAGCATCAGCGTAAATGCCCAACTTGAGCCCCTTGCTGTGCACATAGTCGGCAAGTGCCTTGATGCCCGACGGAAATGAAACTGGAGATGCTGCGAGGCGGCCCTGCGCACGCGGTGGAGAGCAAAGAGGTGAGGAGTGGATGGGATGAGAAGTGAACACGCTGTGCGATGAATGGAATTGGGATGCATGGGATGCATGGGACTGGGATGCATGGGATGCATGGGACTGGGATGCATGAGATGCATGGGATTGGGATGCATGAGATGCATGGGATTGGGATGCATGGGATGCATGGGATGAGATTAGGCGTCGAGACTGGGGATGCTGCCAGGCGGCCCTGCACAAGCAGTGGAGAGCAAAGAGGTGAGAAGTGGACGAGCTTAACTGTGCGATGCATGGGAGTGGGATGCATGGGATCTATGCGGATTTGGGATGTATGGGACGCATGGGATGTATGGGACGCATGGGATGTATGGGACGCATGGGATGTATGGGACGCATGGGATGTATGGGACGCATGGGATGTAGTGGGAGAATGATTCACCCACCTCTGAGTCTCGCGAGTCTGCTTGCCAGCAATCATCTGCGAAAGAGGGGTAAAGTCACGATGTTAGCAACATGCAAGTGCTACAACATCGCTTGGCCAACACGTCAGCAATGCACTGTAAGGCACGGGTATGCGGAGTCCCATCTCACCAATGTTGACATAAATGTGACTTGAGTGCTGCGTGTGCTGAGAATACTTTTGATTAGTCGACTCACGAGGTATTTACCACGGTCTCCACTCACCGATGTTGACATAGATGTAACCGAGTGCTGCGAGTCCCGAGGATACGAGCATGTCCGCTGTGACCACACAAGTTGTCATCGTGAAATTGGTAGGACACAGCGGCACACAGCAGCAAACAGCAGCAGCATGCAGCAGGAAATCACAAAGACGCACAGCAGGAGACATCAATATAGGAGGACGCATCAGCGGCACAAGCAACAGCAGTCCTTCCAACTCAAGAAAGGAAGCAATGCGCTGCAATGCAATCTTGTCTTCAGCACTCAAGGGCAGTGAAACCGTGACAGCCGCAGAAACGGCACGCAGATTTTGCATAAAGCAGCTGAAGGCGCCTCTAAAAGGTCTCTACTACGGCTTTTGAAGGGATTTTTTTTCTGGAGACCGTTGATCTTGACACCTTTTAATCCTGACTTATGACTCACCAACTCACCCCGGGAACCTTGTCATCTAAACTCGGAAGCCCAAGTCACACCATACAGCACGAGAAGAAGGGCCGGTGGTTTGCAAAACTACCTTGAGTTTTCACGATCTCTTCGGTGACATTGCATCCGAAATAGTTCCAGCTGTTCCATCTGCCACGTCAATGCCACGTCACACGGCACGTCACATGCCACGTCACATGCCACGTCACGGAATTATGTAAAGCATGCAACAGGCGCGGCTATGCGACAGATCGGTTTCGCCAGCGGTGTTACCCGAGCGGCGGAGTTCGCGCAATCGTCCGCGCCCCAGCATCTCGAGCTCGATGTGCTGTACCGGTCTCGTCGGGAATTTCGCATTTGATTTCGCTTTCAGGGTTCAGAGTAGCCGACGCTTGAACGACGAGAATCGCGAAACATAAAAGCACAGCGATTAATGGCGAGAACAAGCATCCCCTCCTTTGAGGCATAGCGCTGTGCCAGTAGTATCAACCGCGTTAATAGTTCGGAATTGGAGTCTCGTGGACGACTTTTGAGGCGCCTCAAAAATCGTGGACGGCGACATTGCAGGGCAAGGTCTGGGATGGAACAACGAGTACGTCGCGACGCTTTGACAGTAGTAAGCCAGTCACGATCACCACGCGGCTTGTCGCAATCAGTCGCAATGAGCCATCGATGCGTTGCAAGGAGTCAGTCCCTATCAATTTGTGGTGGTAGAGCAAGCTCCAACAGAATCGAGGTCGAGCTTACCGCGTGCGTATCGGATTCCTAACCTCAAGCATCGTTTGACATCCCTGCTCCTAAACTGAGGGAACGTTCTTGGCCGGTGTCAAGTTCCCTGACACAAGGCTACTGACGGCTGCGATCGCTCCACATCATCCTCAATCGAATCGAGACCCTTCACAGCTTCGTGTCAGCCCGCCTGACACCGGCCAAGAACGTTCCCTGACACTTCTACCAAGATTGAGTCCCATCTGCCTTGTGAGGTGGCTGATGACTGTCTGAAACTGACAGGCGAAGTTTGACTGCCAGTGTGGCAAACCAGCCGTTCAGTACGGTTCAGTGCGGTTGAACGCTTCTGGAAAGGCCGCCACCTGAGTTCAGGGTGCAATGATACCCTTGCGACGGGGCCTGACGCGGTTCTGTGGGTTCTGCGCTGTTATTGAGGGTTGCAGTGCGATGACGAGTCGATTCTGGTAGCCGTTACGGAGTTCTCGAGGTGGCAAGAAGGAGGATGCATTGATGACCGATTCCAGATTCTGGGTTTGACAGAGCCTATTTTCTGTCACGAGCAGATACAGTACATTCTGGAAAACGTAGGTTTGTGCTGTTCGAATCTTGCGAAATACCTACTAGAACCCAAAATTGTGTAGGGCGAAAGGGCTGACACAAAGTTGGTACGGAATAAAGTGGTGATTCAGAAGCGGGTCATAATATTCTGAACCCGACCTAGTCTGGAAGTGCAGGTGACGTGGAGACCCTGTCCGCTGACAGAAGCTCCACGTCATCATCGACAGAGGGATGAACCCAGAGCAACATCGAACAGACACCTATCGTACCGAAAAGCATTTTATCGCGTACAATTGCCAACCTGAGCTTGCCCATGATCAGGATTCCTCTCAATTCAGCCCTGACAAAATTGAATTATATCGAGGATACGGATTCAGGTTAGACCCGACAGCCATGGCGTCTGTTCCGCACTCGAGTCTCCATTCGTCCTTCACCGCACGCCACTATCCCGCACCTCGCCTACTTCCTTCGCTCGCTAAGTCCGCGTTTTCAGGGGAATCGATAGATACTTTTCGCCAGCAATGCGGGGTTCGTGTGATCCCAGCCGTAGGATCCAAGGTCCATCAACATATCGAACGGCGGGCGGGGATCCGCGCGATAGGAGGGCCGCCAGGAATGGGCGCGTTCCCGCGCGCGCCGCAACAAGGCGGAAACGTTCTCAAGGTGCTTTAAAACAAAATCATCTTCGTAGTAACATGTGATTCACTCTGCCGCCCTTCATTTACTTCATATATCTGTTGTTAGCGCTGACGTGTCGAGTGCTCCTTGTCGTTCGCGGTGACCCGCGGCGGTAACGTGCTGCCACGTGCTCTCCTGTGTCCCTGGTTATGAGAAGCTGCTCGAATCAAGCCGCCGCATTTCCGTGCGTGCAGCATAGCAGCAACGTGTTCAGTGTGCTTAATTTCAATCCGCGCCACAATCCTCTCTGCACTGCACCCTGCCGCCACTCTACGCTGCTCCAACAATTATCTCCCTCTCCCCTTTCCACCCCTTCACATCCCCTAGCTGGTGGTGAGCGGCTCAGCTGCCTCCCCTCTATGCTGGGTTTACTTTTGAGAATTCTCAGAAGTAAACTCAACATAGCTGCCCTTTCCACCCCGTCACATCCCCTAGCTGGTGGTGAGCGGGACTGCTGCCTCCGCTCTAGGCGCCACCATGCTCTCCCCTCCCTAACGTCAGGTCCCACGGGTCCTCATTCATAGGGAAGAGGCGGAGGCCCTTTCAGCAGTAGGTCCACCATGCTCTTAACCTTAGCTAGCCAACCTCTGGGCGCCACCACTGCAATCAGCTGCTCCGAACTCATGCTAGCTAGCCTTATAGTCCCGCCAACCTCCACCTACCTATCTTCCCCTTATCTGCCCCTTCTGATTCCCCTCCACAGTTGGGGGTGAGCGGCCCTGTGACCTCCCCTCTCGGCGCCCCCATCCTCTCAACGCTCTCCTCTGCTCGCGGGCTGCAAATGGCCGCTCGGAGCTCATCAAAGCTCTTATCTTCCCTCTCCCCCCTTTTTATCTGTCCATGACGCGGTAAAAGTGCGAATATCGCAGGATCGTGCTTGAATATCGAGTCGCACAATCGATTCTGTGGATCGATTGGCGAAACCACGCGCAAACGTCCTTGTAACGATCGCCACTATGCTTTGGGCTGATCTCCAACGATCCATGATCAGTCGCATTCCCTGACTACACAATTTTCTGACCAAAACCCTACTGTAGCATGGTTACAAACAAGAAAACCGGGTAACCAATCCGCACACCAATCGTGACAGATGATCGATCGTCTACTTTTACCGCGTCCTAACCCTCCCTACAGTTGATGGTGAGCGGCCCTGTGTCCTCCTCGCCTCTCGGCGCCACCATCCTCTTTCGCTTTTCTGGCCATTATCTGCCCTGTCTCGTTCCCTCCCCACAGCTGGTGGTGAGCGGCCCTATGCCATCCACCCTCGGCGCCACCATCCTCTCGACTCTCTCCTCTGCTCGCGGGCTGCAATTGACGGCTGAAAGCTCATTCAAGTTGTATCTTCCCCCTGTCTTCCGCTTTTCTGCCGCTTTACCCATTTCCTTGCTCACTCAATCCCTACCTAGCTTAAGCATAGATTAGAGGAGAGTAGAACGAGCTAAGTCTGGTGATCTTGGTCAAATGTACAAGCTCATTCAAGTGTTATCTTCCGCTTTCCTGCCCATTATCTGCCCTGTCTCATTCCCTCCCACCGCTGGTGGTGAGCGGCCCTATGCCATCCACCCTCGGCGCCACAATTCTCTCTATGCTCTCCTCTGCTCGCGGGCTGCAAATAGCTGCTTCAAACTCGTATAAGCCGTTATATTCCCTCCCCCTCCCTTTTATCTGCCTATCATCTGCCCCATTATCCCCCCCCGCAGCTAGTGGTGAGCGGCTCTGTGGCGTCCCCCTCGGCGCCACCATTCTCTCTACGCTCTCCTCTGCCTGCGGGCTGCAACTAGCTGCTCCATATATACGCACTGATCTTCCCTCCTCCCCTTATCTGCCCCCTTATCTCCCCACCTCACAGCTGGTGGTGAGCGGTCCTGTGGCTTCCCCCCTCGGCGCCACCATCCTTTCAACTCTCTCCTCTGCTCGCGGGCTGCAACTGGCTGCTGTGGTGGACGGCAATCCCGAGGCTAATGGGCGGGATGCCGGGGAGGTGAGACGGGCGAGGAGATATGGGAGTGGGGGGAGGGGATATGACAGGGGGAGAGGGCTGATAGGATGGGGAGATGAGGGAGGGTCAGGGGGCGTTTGCTTGTTTCTTGCGGGCTGCAACTAGCTGCTGTGGTGGACGGCAATCCCGAGGCTGATTGGCGGGGCACTGGGGAAGTGAGACGGGGTGTTGGCCCACGTGGCATGTCCACCACCTTCACTCCCCCTGCCACTCTCTCCCCTTTTTTCCCCTTTATCCCACACCCCTGCCCTGCCTTCCTCCCTTGATTCGCTTGCCTTCCCTTGCTTCCTCCCAGCTTCGCTTGCCCCAAGTAGCGGGGTCTGCTTATGGAGCCTCTGGAACCGCTGATATTGTGACATGACGCACCCTGCTCCTATCCTCCAAGCCCATCCCTTTCCTTCCATTTCAACATCCCCTCTCCTCTCATTTATCCCCCAACCCCTCCCCTGCTTCTTTGTTGCCTGGGTGTACATGAGCTGCTGGAACTGCTGGCAGTGACACGACGCACCCCCTCTTTTCTCCTCCACTTTCTCCCCTTTTCCACGTCTTGTCATCCACCCCTCACGACCTCTGCTTCTCTTGCCTCAGGTGGCCGGTCTACCTGAGCCTCTGGAGCTGCCAGTGGTGGCTGACGTCATCATGGTCCTGGCCTCCGTTGCTCAGGTGCCTCTCAGTTGCTTAGGAGCTCCGTCTCCCTTTATCTCTCCATCCCCTAGTGTCTCTCTCCCTTTATCTCTCCCTCCCCTAGTGTCTCTCTCCCTTTATCTCTCCCTCCCCTAGTGTCTCTCTCCCTTTATCTCTCCCTCCCCTTGTGTCTCTCTCCCTTTATCTCTCCCTCCCCTAGTGTCTCTCTCCCTTTATCTCTCCCTCCCCTAGTGTCTCACTCCCTTTATCTCTCCCTCCCCTTGTGTCCCATTCCCTTTATCTCTCCCTCCCCTTGTGTCTCTCTCCCTTTATCTCTCCCTCCCCTTGTGTCTCTCTCTCTCCCTTTATCTCTCCCTCCCCTTGTGTCTCTCTCCCTTTATCTCTGCCTCCCCTTGTGTCCCTCTCCCTTTATCTCTGCCTCTCCTTGTGTCTCTCTCCCTTTATCTCTGCCTCCCCTTGTGTCTCTCTCCCTTTATCTCTGCCTCCCCTTGTGTCTCTCTCCCTTTATCTCTGCCTCCCCTTGTGTCTCTCTCCCTTTATCTCTGCCTCCCCTTGTGTCTCTCTCCCTTTATCTCTGCCTCCCTTATCTCTCCCTCCCCTTGTGTCTCTCTCCCTTTATCTCTCCCTCCCCTTGTGTCTCTCTCCCTTTATCTCTCCCTCCCCTTGTGTCTCTCTCCCTTTATCTCTCCCTCCCCTTGTGTCTCTCTCCCTTTATCTCTCCCTCCCCTTGTGTCTCTCTCCCTTTATCTCTCCCTCCCCTTGTGTCTCTCTTCCTTTATCCCTCTCTTCCCTAATCTCTCTCTCCCATTGGCTATCTCTACCCTTTCTCTCCCCTTGACTGTCTTTTTACTCGCCTTCCCCCCACTTGCCTTTCCCCACTCACCTTTTCCCCCACTCACTCGCCCTGCACTCACCCCCTCTACTCACTCGCCCTCCACTCACTCCCTCTCATTTCCTGCAGTCGCGGTCAACAGGCGTGTATGTGGATTTCACAGGGGATGCGTCTGCTGCCTGCGAGAACGTGCGACAGGTGAGGCGTGTGTGTATGTGAACGTGCGACAGGTGAGGCGTGTGTGTATGTGAACGTGCGACAGGTGAGGCGTGTGTGTATGTGAACGTGCGACAGGTGAGGCGTGTGTGTATGTGCACGTTCGACAGGTGAGGCGTGTGTGTATGTGCACATGCGGGCGGGCGTGTGTGTGCATGTCTGTGCGCGCGCGCGTGCATGTGTGGCAGTGTTGCCTCCCCCTGTCAAGCCAACCCTCTCCTCTTCGCTCATCTCTCCTCATCCCTCCCTCTCCCCACAACAGGCAACAGCATTCGGGCTGACTGACCTGTGTGGTGGTGGGGGCTTGTATACCAGAGAATGGCCATTCTTTCCCCACTTCCCCTCACCACACCACCCCTCTCTTCCAATCCGTCCCCCTCGCCCCTTTCCCACCACAACCCCATACCCCAGGCAACGGCGTTCGGGCTGAGCAGTGTGGTGGTGGGTGCGAGTATACCAGAGGACGAGCTCAGCGGTCTCTATGACTTCTGTGACAAGGCGTCCATGGTACGCCATGCATGCAGTCAATGCCAGTCAACGCCAGTCAATGCCTTCTGCATGACGTATGTGGTCATGCTAGGCGCTTCAAAAGTTTGTGGCCTCTATGACTTGTGCGATAAGGCATCCATAGTAGGGCGTGCAGCGCAGTCAATGCATTCAACTCAGTCAACGCCAGTCAATCTGTGATGTGATGTGACTGAGTTGATCAACTCAGACAAGGCATTCAAAAGTTCCTTTCTGAGTGCCTCAAGTGTCAGCAGTGGACTCTATGAGTTATGCGGGCAGCCATACACGGTACGGCATGCAGTCAACTCAGTCAATGCAGTCAGTGCAGTGCACGAAACTTCGGAGGCGCTTCAAAAGCCAATTTCTAGCTTTGCAACAAAGAATCCACTATACCCTCCCAATCATCTTCACTTCAAATCATGCACTTGAGTCGACTCAAAAGCAGACTCATTACACGCGGTTTTCCCCATGAGTGAGGACCCGTGGGACCTCACGTAACTGCACTCTCTCAATCATCTTCACTGCCAATCATGCCTCGCCTCTCCACCCCAATCATCAACCGCCTTCACCAATCAACACCACTGTTTTTTCCTTCATTCGTCCTGCGACAGCGCTTTGAGAACGTGCCTAAGAAATGTGAACAAATTGCAGGCGACTTTTGAGTCGACTCAAAAGAGCACGAAACTCTTACGTAGACCACAGACAACTTTCCCCATCGTGCATTCTTTCCCTTTCTCCCTTCTGTCTTTCCCACAGGGTTGCATCATCGCCCCCACACTCTCCATCCTCTCCATCCTCTTGGAACGAGCTTACATTCTTAGCGCTGCCCTTTCTTCTCTCCCCTTCCCTCTGCCCCTTCCCCGTTCACCCCACAGGGATGCATCATCGCCCCCACTCTCTCCATCCTCTCCATCCTCTTGGAGCGAGCTGCCACTCAGTTCGCCTTCCACTGCTCTCACGCGCACATCATCGAGTCACTTGCAGAGCTGACACAGGTGAGGGTGCTCGCTATGAGTGGGGCATAGGTAGTGTATGGGTGGGGCTGCCACCCAGTCATCCTCTCCATTCTCTTGGAGCGCAGTTCGAACGAGCTGCCACTCAGTTTGCATTCCGCTGCTCGCACGCGCACATCATCGAGTCACGTGCAGAGCTGACACAGGTGAGACGTAGGCTGTGCCGTGTCATTTCATATCATTTCATCTCATGTCATGCCATGCCATACCATGCCGTAACATCCCATGCCATGCTGTGCCATGCCATGCCATGCCATTCTGTACAATCCCATGCCATGCCATGCCATGCCATGGCATCCCATGGCATCACATGCCCTGTTATCCCATCCCATCACATACCATGCACGGGGCCTCATCTAGACATGGGCATTGAGTCGAGTTTCTAAACTCGACTCGATCGGGGGACTCGCTGACTCCCCCGCCCACACATACAGGCACCATCAGAGGACGTTGTTAGGCTGGCCCAGCAGCTAGCACAAGTGGGGCGCACATTCAATGGCAACGATACCTCCGAGGACCTGGTGAGTGCCCACGTTGACCGCACACCACCTGCACTCCCAGTCACCGTCGGAGGATGCTGTTTGCAGTGGGCCAGCCTGGCTGCCAGCTCAGCTGGCTCAGCTGGCTAAAGTGGGTCGAGCGTTCAATGGCAACGACACATCCAATGACCCGATGCTATCAATATGTAACCACACTGACCCAGGGATCGCTCATTCAGGAGTAGGGCGTGAGGGTGAGTTAGGAGACTGCGGAGATAGCTACTACAACGGGAGCTAGACTACGGGCTAGGCACGGGTGCTCGTGTGATCTCTGCGTTCGTTGGTCCTTAGTCGTTTTCCTAGTGTACACACTGCTTGCTAGTTCACAGAGAGAATCGGCAAGAGTTTCACTAGGAAAGGTTGACAACAATGATACAATGAAGTTGGCAAGGTAAGACTACATCAGAGCTAGCATGCAAGCAGGACGACTGCCAGCGCAGCACGGTCGACCACGTGCCAGCACGACCTGGTCGACCGCGCCCCAGCAGTGCAGAGTCGCGGCTTGCCAACACTGCAGGTCGACAGCGTGCCAACGTCGCAGGTTGACGGCGCGCCGACGTTGCTCCCGCAGGACAGCAGCGCACCTACTTCGCAGATGATTGGCGTGCAGTGCCTCGTCACCTGCACAGCGCACACACCACATCAACTACGTGCTGACGACTGCCTCTGATGCACCACGTCGACCTCGGGATACCATCACCGAGGTCGTCCTCGCCAAAACCACCCGGGCGAACGTCGCATGCCTCCGCAGAACCTCGTCACCCAGGCAACCAGGTCGACCAGAGGCTCCTGTGCGTGCCCGTCGACCACCCAGGTCGACGACCACTTCCGGTCGACCTCCCCAGGTCGACCACTGCCTCTGGTATGTGCCGGTCGACCTCCCAAGTCGACGGCCACCTCCAGTCGACCTCCCCAGGTCGACCACTACCCCCTGGTCGACCAGCTCCAAGTCGACGTCACTCCAGGTCGACCAGAAGGGCTGGTCGACTTACCAGGTCGACCAGAAGGTCTGGTCGACTTCCCAGGTCGACCAGAAGGGCTGGTCGACTTACCAGGTCGACCAGAAGGTCTGGTCGACTTCCCAGGTCGACCAGAAGGTCTGGTCGACTGCCCAGGTCGACCACCCGAAGTTGGCGCCCTCACGAAGTCGGCGCCCATGCAGTGGCTCCCCGTGCAGGTCGACCAACCTCGTCGACCAACTCGCCCACTGCTGCAGGTCGGCTGCACCCTACACCCGACCACGAAGTCGGCACCGCCCAAGCGAGGACGGGGCCAACATACAATTCCCGTTGATCGAGTCGTCTCACATCGCTCATTCAGGAGTGGGGCGTGAGGTTGCACAGCTTGTGGAAACCCGTCAGTTCTCACACTTGAACCGTTATTTGACTTGCACGTTCAATAGCAATGACCTCTGAACCGCCATCCCCATGCCACTCTCCCCTGCATGCCTTCTCTTGTCTGAGCAGGCTCGCGGCTTGCTTATGGAGGAGGGGGTGAGGGTGCACAGCATGCAGCAGCCCATCCTTTTTCACACTCACAATCACACTCCCATTATGCCTCTCCTCTCGTTACAATGCCACTCCCTGCTCTGCAGGCTCGGGGCCTGCTTATGGAGGAGGGTGTGAGGGTGCACAGCCTCTCTTCTCACGCTCGTGAAAAAAGAAGAGTTTTGAGACGTCTCAAAACTCTTATGGAGGAGGGTGTGAGGGTGCACAGCCTCTCTTCTCACGCTCGTACTCTCATCGCCATGCCTCCCCTTCTGATGCCACTTCCTTGATCTGCAGGCACGGGGATTACTCATGGAGGAGGGGGTGAGGGTGCACAGCATGCAACAGCCAGGGCTGCTGCAAAGCACTGACGTGCGGTTTGGGAGCAACGGGCAGGTAGGTCCTCATGTCCTTGCCTATTCGTGCCTGTTCGTGCATGCCACTCATGCCGCCCATGCCACACATTCATACATTCGACTCATGCCACTCATGCCACTCATGCCACTCATGCCACTCATGCCCCATGTGCCACACTCTATATCTCGTCCCCCTTCCGTGATGCTGCGTGTGGATGGCATGTGGCATTGCATGTGGCATGGCAAACACAGACGGCATCTCTCCGGTTGGACATCACATCACATGCAGCATACATGCCTGGTCTACTGCTCGCCATCAGACGAGCCCCCAGGTTGAAGGTCAGAGACTGCCTCTCATCCCGCCTCTTCTGCACTGCTGCTGCTTTCCCACATCCGCCTCGTTCACCTTGTACCTCTCTTCCATGATAATAGTGTTTTCCCTTCTCAACGTTCCTTCGCACCCTACCTCATATTAAATTACCCCAGCTCCCGACCGCAACCTCCCCTCTCAACATGCCAACCACTCTGTCTCAATATTCCCTTCTCAGGTTCCAAGCGCTCTCTTCATATTTTTTAGGTTGCCCCACTTTCTCTCCACTCAAATTCACCAAACTGCTAGCATTCGCACTGACGCACCCCCTGCTGCATGATAATTCCGTTCTCCCCACGTCTCAGTTCCTCACTCCTGCCTCAACCCTCTCGGCCCTTTTCTTCTCTCAACAACTGCAGGGTCTCGTGTTTGGTCTGGAAAAGCTCTTGTGATGGGCATGGCATGTCATGGCATGTCACGTGCCTTCTCGCCTGCGGTGCCTGTTATAAGGAACTCCAGTCCGCCGTCCAGCAAAATGCCATCCGTATTGAATCTATTAACATCACAACTATCTCACAACAAGGTTTCTATTCAGAAAATCAACATCAAACGACCAATTAAGCACCGGGCATCTGCGTTGCAACAGCTGTACTCCATTGTCAGGGATAGAGCCATCAGAGGCACGCCACGTGACTGCGGCTGCTACATCAATGATGGCAGTGACAATCAGTCTGGCACACTACTGCACAGCACGAGAGGAATCACCCTGCAGAAGCTGGAGCAGCAGCAGTAGCTGGGGTTGAAGGTGGAGGAGGGGTTGAAGGTGGAGGAGGGGTTGAAGGTGGAGGAGGGGTTGAAGGTGGAGGAGGTGCATGTCGTACAGACTCATGTTGTATGCTAGAACCAGCACCACCAGCATTGCGACATGCACCAGCAGCAGCACGGGTGACAGCAGCAGCAATTTCACTTTCACTCGCCTCCCCAGCATCCACCAGGCGCCATGCAATGGCGTGCAGGGCACCCTCATTCTGCCCGAGATCGTGTGTACCCCCCCACACGAGTGCCTGTGCTTCCAACACCACCACCAGCCCTGCACTCCCTGATGAATCACCCTAGGAGGAATCACCCTGCAGCCGCAGCACCTAGGAGGAATCACCCTGCAGCCGCAGCAGCTGTTGTAGATGGGACTACATCCTTCTGCCCTTTGATGATTGCTGTATTGAATCGAGAACAGAGATCCTAATTCACCTTGCTTTGCAGAGCACGTCAAATGAATGTTTCAATCTTAATACGAAAGGCATGCACTAGATAGGTTTTAGGTACCTGTCATCAGATACAGTTGGAAAATCCAATCAGTGCAATTGCTTCACAATGCTGTCTCTTCCCAGCACCCAGATGTGCACCAAACACATAGCATACCTCTACAAAGCTTTGCAAAACTTATGTTCCACCTAAGTGTTACTTAACTACTACCATACAAATCTCCTGCAACCCCAAGCAACCTAGGAACCTCTAGTGGAAAACATCCCATCTGGTAACACCGGATCTGAGCCAAGTATCTTGCAGCCTCGGAGATCCACCTCTCGCAGCATCGTCAAGCAGCAGAGCTCCTGCGGCAGAAACTGAAGCTGCTCACAGTCATGCAGATCCAGCTCTCTGAGTCTCCCCCAATGGTGGAAATTGGGAGGTAGGACGTGAAGTGACGTCTTGCTGGCATCCAACTTGTGCAGGTAGGTGAGGGCGGTGAAAGAGCAGGGCAGGCTTGTCAGGGAGGAGCAATTCCGCAGGCTGAGGTCGCCCAACTTTGACAAGGAAGAGATGGTCTCAGGAAGGTGGGTCAGATTTGGAGCTTCGATGTGGATGGAGGTGAGATGCACAAGCTGGCCCACACTCGCTGGAATCTCCTGCAGTGATTCCGCTCCTTCCACATGCAGCTGCCGCAGCTGCGGAAGAGTCCCGATGTCATGAGGCAGGTGCCGCAGGGATTTGGCTTTCGAGATGCGCAGCTCACGAAGGCATGAGAGGAACCCGAGCAGAAGCGAAATCTCTGTTTGTTCAGCACCTAGCCGCAACTCCAGTTTCTCAATCCCAGAGAGGCTACGGCTGGTCGCTGCTGCGTCCTTGATAGTAACATTAGTCAGATGCAGCTTCTTGAGATATGGAGCTGTTGACATGTCAGGAAGAGTGCTGCTGCTGGTGTCATTCCCCCACCTCAAGTCCTCCAAAGACCAAGGCAGATATTCTACAGTCAAGAGAACACAACCCCACAAATCCAGCTTCTGCAGGCGTGAAAGGTTTCCCATGCCTTCAGGTGCAGAAGCGAGCTTCTCACACATGTAAGCCTTGAGAGTCTCCAGGCAGCTCAGCTGAGTGATGGATGCTGGCAGCTCCGTCAGCTCATTGCAGCAGCTCAGGGCCAGCTCTCGCAGGCCACCCAGCTGGCCTATGGCCTCTGGAAGGTTAACCATTGGACACTTGTCGAGATTGAGTCGTGTTAGAGAAGAGAGACGACCCAGTGATGGCGGCAGCTGCTGCAGGGAGGCGCAGCTTCTGAGCTCCAAATTGCGGAGATTGGTCAGATCGCCTAACTCTTCGGGGTTCAATGTCAGCCTTAACGGCCTGATCACCAACGACTCGAGAGCTGTCAAGAAGGAGATTGCTGCAGGGGCAATGTCCGACCAAATACAGCTGATATACAGCTTCTGAAGCCGTGTAAGCAACCCAATAGAATTAGGCAGTGTCTCCATTGGCAGCATACTCAGCACCAAGGACTTCAGCCGTGTCAAGTTTCCAAGCTTGTCAGGCAGGCTAGATACGCTACAATTGGAAATGGTGAGAATCTCTAAGGTGCTGATGCTTGTGAGAGAATCCGGCAGCTCAGTCAAGAAGGGGCTTTCTGAAAGGCACAGTTCGTGAAGTGCAGGAAACCGCTTTCCAAGCTCCCCAGGCGGAATGTTTTGAATCTGGGCTAGCAGCAGTCGCTGAAGACGGAAACACGGTAACGTTGACGGAAACATTGAAGGAAAGTCTGTTGGCGCCTGTACGAATCCCAGCGAACGAAGCGTTGTGAGCTGACCAAATGAGAAATCCCCTTCGAAATCATGGAACCATGTCCTTCCTGGAAAAAACAGGCTGGTCAGATTCGTAAGGCCAGTCAATGGCGACAGCTGATGTAAGTGCATGTCCCGCTTCTGAATCGAAAGATTTGTGAGAGAAGTCAAATTGACCAAGTTGGGGTACTTCAGAGGCGACAATCCCCCAAGAGACAGCGTGTGCAGGCGCGTCAGCTGGAAGAACGAAATCGGAAGCTTCGTTGCCCGATGCAGGCACTGGAGTGACAGCTGCTCCAAGCGGCGACAACGGCGGAAGAGACTATCCAGCCCAGCTGTCGTGACGGGGTATCCTGAATCCTCGAAGTCTTCCGTCTCCTCTTCATCATATTCCTCGTCATCGCCTGGAGCAATGCCTTCGCCGACATGAAGAGCGATTAGGTTTGGGAAGGAAGAGCCGATAAATGCCAAGAAGTCATTGTCGATTGTTTCCATGCTCTGATCGCTCAGGTGCAGGCGAGTGAGGTTCGGGAAGGACGCCAAAACGCGTTTGAGATCCCGGCGAGACACGAAACGCTCCTTTAGCACGTGAAGCGTTGTGACGGATTCGTGTGCGAGCTTCCGCCAGCGACGGCAGACGGAGGCGATGCGGAGAACTTGTGCGACATTGGCAGAGGCAGGAGGCGTGGGGAAATGCGGATCAGGGCCTGGATCTACATTTTCGCCAGTACTAGCGTAATCCGAGAGCGACAATGAAGAGGCTGGCTGGAATAAGTCTGAACGCCAGAAGATCCTGCTGAGAACTTCATCAGGAAGACAACGGATGCTCGTAGCGGTGCTCATGTCCCTGTACGATTAACCTGCTCGAGCCATGGCTCCTGCGACGTTTATTTCACCACGAAGACTAAGCTTGGGAAGCGCTACCTTCGTTAGACAAGCTTATGAGAGGATGCTTGCAAGATAACAGCTGATAGATATCACTGCAGAGATCTCAGCAAACTGAGGATATGGAGAGAAGGGCTCGATCGGATAGGGGCTTCCTATGGTTTTTGTCACGGTTGCCAGAAATGAAAGACCACCATGCAGCATGCCTCGCAGCTGTCATATTTACGCTGGAGGTGGCCAAACACTAGCATGCATACAGGATGTCACACTTGTCTGCCTCGATTCTCGATGAAGCAGGCGAGGCAGCTATTGTGGTATTTCGTCACTACAGTGAAGTGATTCGAAATGCAAGCATTTGGGTGTTCAGGTTACCATCATGCTTCCCCACCCAAGCAATGCTTTTGTACGATGTTTGTTTCCAACATACTAAGTGGGTTGCTGCAACAAACATGATATGAGTTGTTCCATATTACGACACCCAAACGCAGGCCGTCTAAATGTGGCACTCAAGAAACGTGTGTTGGTAAATTGTATACGCAGATAACTACACAAGATACCGTCATCGCCCGGATATAAGACAGTGTTGAATAGTAGACAGGGGTTGTCTATTATACGGGTGTCTCTTATAAACAGGCTAGCCAGTTTATACGACACCTATTTGTGTGTACGAGATAAGACATATATGTCTTATAATCAAAACCGGGGTTTAGGGGTTTTCTTATAAACAGGGGGTGTCTTCTAAACGAACCTTCCCACCTTTAGGGGGGTACATGCATACATTCTTGAATCTCTACTTCTACCTAACCCCCCTCAGTCACCGCCTCCTCGCCTGCACTAACAGCAGGCTCTACACGCAGGTCTGGCACTCGCCAGGCATGCCTAGCCGTCTCCCTAGGCTCGATCATGCGGTCAGCCTCGGCCGCCGCTCCGCGGTAGTTGGGGGTCTCCTGGTACAGCACCTCCAGGCCGGTTGCCACGGCCACCTCCCGCACGCCCTCCGCCTGCATCGCCTCCTCCTCATCCTCCTCCTCCTCCTCTGGAGCCTTCCCAAGCAGGCGCGTGTTGTCGCCTGTGGTCCGCCCGAGGGACATGTCCTCGGAGACATCGGTGGTGCTCCTGGCGCGCAGGTGAGACATCACCAGGTGGTTCTCCGTTCCGTCCAGCTTGCTGGAGATCCCACAGTGGCGGAATGCGTCGATGATGATCTGCTTGGGGACTTGATCCCAAGCCTCCGCGATCCACTGCAGCACCACGGGGTGCGGAGGCCTCCGAAGGTTCCCTGCGGTTGGGACAGAGGCAGGGACTGGGAGATGTTAGAGACATGGACAGGAAACAGAGTCTGTTAAAGACAGGGACAGGAAACAGAGCAGAAATTCAGAATGAATGTCCAACTCACCTTTCTTCGTCTTCAGGTGAATCCCTTCACGCATGAACCACCTGGCGTAGCGCGCTCGCACGGCAGCCTTGAAGCACCGGTTGATGGAGACGTCCAGGGGTTGAATCTGGCTCGTACAACCCGCTGGGATGACTGCAGGGGTGATGCTGTGCGTGCGGTACGACTGAAGCATGGTCTGGGTGATGTGGCCGCGGTAGGAGTCCAACACCAGCATCGCACGCCTCGCGCTCTAGCCGCGCTGGGGGTTCAGATGGGGCAGCACCTCCTTCGAGAGCCACGTCTGCACAGCGCTCTCGTCCATCCACCCGTTGTCCTGTGCTTGGACCACGATTCCTGCCAGGCACACAAGGGACAGACGGGCATCAGCACAGTGGGGCACGCTCATGAGGCAGTCGCACGGTTGAATTCAGTACGCTTACCGTCCGGAATCTCACAGTTGGGGACGTTCTTCATCTTGAACCACACCCACGGCCGCAGCTTCTCCCCGGATGCAGTGCACGCGAGCATCACCGTCAAGCGCGTCTTCTGGTAGCCTGCAGTCCGGATCGGGACCGAGCGCGCGCCACGATGCTCGATCGTCCGTTCGGCCGGCATCTCCACGAATAGTGGTGTCTAGTCCGCGTTGATGATGCAGGCCAGGTCGATGTTGTGGCGCGCCCTGTTGATGCGCACGAACTTCCGGAAGGACTCGCAGTCCTTCACGCACTCTGCAAACGGGACAGGCGTAATGGAAGCACGGGATGGTTAGACACTGGGCGAGGTACATGCACACAATAGCCCGCGCGCGACACGAATTCCTTTTACACTCACCTGCCGACAGACGTTGGCCGACCTTGGTCTTCACCCGCATCACCAGGTTCCAACGGTCACGGAACCGCTGGCTCCAGTGAGAGCTTGCGTTCTAGTTCTTGCCAGGGTGATGCTTCTTCATCCACTCGCGGCTCCACTTCTGGGTGTCCTTCACCGAGATGGCCACCCAGTTAGCGCGCTGAAGGCAGATGTAGCGGTACAACGCTGCCTCCATGTCGGGGTAGTGTGCGTGGTGGCCCCCCCCGTGCATCCGCTTGCGGCAGTTAGCCGCGCCCTTGTAGAATCCCGCAGCCGCCTCCGCACTCCAGCGTCTGATGCAGGCGATGCTCGCGGTTGACTCCACGCTCGTCTTCTTCAAGGAGCCAAGCTCCTGGTAGCGCGGCGCCCACTTAAGCTTCTCACGCACGGTCCATCCGCGCCGCTTCTTAGTAGTGTCCTTGCTGCGAGGGGAAGGTGGGCGGGTGTTGGGATTATGGAGGGTGGGGTCCTTCGGTGTGACCTTCTCAGGGAACGTGGGAATCAGGCCCGCCGCCGCCGCGTATTCTTCGTCGCTGCCCAGCGCCTCGTTCACGACGATGTCGTCAGGATTCGGCGCCTTCTTCGCCTTCTTCTTATCCGCTCCCTTGCTGGATCCCGGGTCTCCGTAGGATTTCTGCCTCTTGTTGCTTGTGCGGCGACGAGCAGGGGCCTTAGCAGGGGCCTTAGCAGGGGCTTCCACGACCTTGGCTTTCCCCTTCTCCGCAGCGGTGAGTATCGGGCGACGCTCCTCCCCCGGCCTGTCGTCGTCAGAGAGCACCACGCGGGCCCGCTTGGACTTGGACTGAAGGCGATGGCGCAACCTACGCTTCAGTAGCGGCACGTTGTCGTCTGTCCCAAGGCTCCACGGGTCGTTGTCGGAGCCTTCACCGTCAATTAAGACGGCATCCGTAGCCACCTTGTCCGACTCCGCCACCGCGTCCGCATCCGCAGGCGCAACTGTCTCGAGGTCCGCCTCCGCCTCGTCGGCACGCTCATTCGCATCCACCGCCGCTTCCTGTGCCTCCGCGTTGTCACCATCAGCTTTGTCACCTCCGTCGTTGTCAGAATCACCAGCCCGCCACTCTTCCACATCGTCGTCGCTCCCGACCGGCTGATTCCACCATTCGTCCTCCTCAATGTCGGCAGGACCTAATTCGTCGCCCGAAGCGCTGTCGTCGTGGCCGTTCTCCGGCCAATCCTCCTCCGCGTCGTCGCCGTGTGCTTCGTCTCCGTCGTCCCCGTCACAGCTCGCACCGGAGGCGGCGGTAGGACCTCCCGCCTTGCTCGCGGTCTTTGCCATGGCTACACGGATGTCGTCGCCGGGCGAGTTAATTCGCCCATAGTTATTCACCTGCACGTGAGGACGAGGTGAGGACTTGCCTAGGGGTACCTTGCTGCGCATGGTTAGAGAGCCTGCCGAGAGCAAGGTTAGATCGAGGGTTCAACCTCCTTGAGCACCAAATGAAGCACGAGCCCGACTACCCCCCCCAGCCATAGTGCCCCATCCACAGATGCCGAGCCGCTCCTCTACGAGGCATCTCCTCGTAGAGGACAGCCCTCGCGCTGCCAACGTGCTGCCAGCAGCGTTCTAGAAGCTGCCATGCGCTGCTGGCAGCAAAACGACGCTGGCAGCATCATTAGATGCTGCCAGTACAGAGGAATGTTGCCAGCGGTGGCAGCTTTGCTGCATCCCTCACGTGGCAAGTGTGGGCGCTGCATGCATCACCACCGAGGTCGGCCTGTTTCAATGAATCTGGTCCCTGGGTGGTTTCTACACACTTTGCAAGTGTTACAGTCAACTTATAATTTTTTCCATTTATAAGACTTATAAGACACCCTAAACCATCCCGTTTACAAG